TCATCACAGAATGCGCACACAACACGGGGAACACGCGCGCACGTCCACACACACACACAGCCCACAGTGTGCAACAGATAATTGATTCCAAGCTATTTATTGCCGATCAGTCTCAGGGCCCCATTGACTCGTGCCTTGCCGTGTGCCAGCTGGATCAGCCGATGCCACTTTTGCGGCTCTGAGCTTGTCAGCGCAGTAAGGAATGCGAGTGTTGAACGAATAAGGCGGTAGACCGGTGGTTGTGGACATTCCCAGCTGCAGTGGTACATCGTGGCCTTCGCTCCACAACAGCGGCAGTATGAGGGATGTTGTGTGGGGTGGAAGATATAAAGGATCTAAAGGCAGGCGAATGAATTAGTCTGAAGTTGCCGCCAGGCAACAGTGTCCCCTCGGTTGAGTGATTTCTGTGGCGGTGGAAAGTACACGAAGAGGAAAAACAGCGAGTGCACTTCGTGTGAGCAGACAGACAGGTTCTTTTGTGGATCGCATAAGCAGACAAGAATATTGTCACGGCTAATGCTGGTTATTATTGTAAGGCCTCCGATAGGAGGACGGATCGTTTCTTGAAATTTGTGATGTGCACATGGCTCGTAGCGCTGCCGCGTTTGGCAGTTGTTGATTGTGACGGCATTCTGAACTCGATGCTTGCATTTACTTGAAACGCTAAATTATTGTGGGTGGTTTACGGGCCCTTTAAACATAGTTAAGCACTTCTATTTCACTCTTTCAGCACTTGCGCGGCCATGACGAAGATCCTGCGTGATTTGACAAGCAGCCTCGAAGGTCAAGCAGAAACTCGATGAGGGCCTTACGTCAACATGCATTGACCGGAAAAAGCTACAGGTGACAATATTTTGCACTGTCATAAGGACTTGATGACTGATTGGATTCTTGATTGCAGAGTGCATTTTTTTTCAGCACTGCACAATTAAAGGGGTCCTGTAACGATTTTCCAAGTAATCATCTAATGGCTTCAGGAAACGACTGCTACAACAATTTTTAGAATCTATCAAATATGCAACAGAGTTACTGAGGTTTGTCGCAAGCTTCAGCCGCTTTCTTCAAACGGCGAAGTACAACTGTATTCTTGTAGTAATTAAAATGAGAACATTGAAGCTCCATACTACCGAAAAAAGCTAGGATTATAACATTACTACTGTTGCAACCTTTTCTATCTCTACAATACAATGACATTTCATTTTTCAGGGTGTTGGTAGCCAGTTTATTGAAAAAGTGATTATCTAAAGTTATCATGGATACTTTTTCACAATTATTGGATATAGTATACATAAAATCTGGACTCTCATTTGATATGAGTGCATCAAGATGAGCGCATCACCAATGTTTTCATTATTATAATCAATATACGAAATAGCTTATGTCTATAAAGTTATACCCCTTCCCCTGGGCTTTAAATAAAGCTTTGATGTAACGTTTCGTTCCGTAGGCACTCTGCCAGTTCTGTTTCGGCATCATCGTGCATTGGCATATGGCTGAAGCACAAAGTGCAGAGTGTTGACGAAGTTAATACAAATGACATTAGATGGTGGTGTTGCACGGGGCCAATAATGAATGCTCTTCGTTGACTGCACTAAAGGACTGTGCTTTCTCAGCAATACCTCCTCTTTTATAGATTGCTCAATGCACCTTACAATGTGTAGTCTCGTTCATTTGTTTCTGTTCGCAGGAAATTGAGAAGGCTTTGCGCGAGGCCGCAGACACCATCGACGAAGACGTCAAACAGCTCCAGGAGCGCATTGAACGTCTGAAATGAGATTAAGTGACTGTACATAATTGCCTTTAAGTGTTCCTTGTTTGTATTGAAATTGTTTCGTGCTAGCATTGGCTTACTCGTATCATTCTAAGGTAAACTTTCTCAGGTGAAGCCCGTCATAACGCACAGAATCTGGCGACAAAGTACTTAAAAGACGCGACACCTGCAAGCGCAAAGAAATGTGGCCCGTCGAAAGTGCACCCAGTCCCAGTCACATGTGTGTCCATACCCTCCTCATCATGGGCTTATCGGTGATCGGCCGTTTTTGATGCGATCCCTTATTGAGGTCACTTCACGGTGCCACATTTCGTTGTTGCCTGGATATTAATGCACGACCGTCATCATTGTCTGTAACAACTGAGGTGTTGTGATGCGAAGCATGTGGATGAAAGACCCAGTATGGAGGAAGGAAACAGGTAAGGGTATAGTGCAATGTGATAGAAAGAAAAGTACGACAGATCGTCATAACAAAGTTGCATCGTACACGAAAATAAGCTCGTTATATCTGAAAATTTGTCATAAGAGTGTATTCCTAACACTATGTCTATTGCAGGACAATTTTTTATTTACTTCATTACATTCTATATTTTTTGTATCTGGGTTCATTATATTGAGGTTAAGAGTGTGTAGCAAGTCTGGCACAAACACACCAAACTTGGTTTGCTCCCATTTTCCTCATTGGGATGCTAGATATTTTTTTTTCCTTATTGCATCCGCATGTCATAGCTTGATTGTCCACGGCAATTATAGGTCAACTCATTCTGGTGGATGGGGCTGTGTTTTGAGACTGCTAGCTCTTTCTTGTGGTCTTATTCAGCAAATATATGAGCCTCATGATGTCATTCAGGAGTGCTTCACCACTGGTTCGGGCTTGTGTGCATCTGCTTTTGAGGAGGAAATGCCACAGACTTATAAAGTTGTACCTGACTCTATACCTTTCCATGGGAGAGAAAAATTGCGGTCATGATGGGCTGCACACGAGAGTACGAAGGCCGACGTTACAGCCTCAGTGCTGCATTTTTTGGGGGCGATGCCAGTTTTTAACGTAGCCCAGAGAGGATTATGGGTGGCACTCGGGAGTTGTCTGTGAAAAGGTTTGTATGTATTAACATATGGGAGGTCCTGCCTGCGATTTGTAGCCTTGAGACCTCCTTCTGCATAATTACCTGTATTGCATTCTCTTAGTATGCTAATACTCGCGACATGGTTCTTTATACATTAACATAAACAGAGTCGAAGGTAAGAGCCTTCTTTTTCTTGTATACTTTATGTATTGAACCTGCGATAGCACCCTCCAAAAGCTTTCTCTAACAATTTGGTTTTGCATAATGTTTGATATGTGGGATTTAACGTCCCAAAATCACCATATGATCATGAAAGACGCCGTAGTGGAGGACTCCAAAAATTTCGACCACCCGGGGTTCTTTAACGTACACCCAAATCTGAGCGCACGGACCTACAGCATTTTCGCCTTCACCGAAAATGCAACAGCCGCAGCCGGGATTCGATCCCGCGACCAGCGGGTCAGTAGCCGAGTATCTTAATTAGCCACTAGACCAGCGCGGCGGCACGTTGTTTTGCATTATGCCTTGCAGTATTAAAGATATTGTAAGCTTTCTGCACCTCACCTAGTTTTGCATTGTCTCCGCGATCGGCCCACCTTTGACGCTTTGACCAAACATGACATCATACGATAGCTATAGCGCGAGAACAAAACGACGACACAGAGACAAGAAGGACACGAAAGACACTTCTTGTCTCTGTGTCGTCGTTTTGTTCTCGCGCTATAACTATCGTCATGCCATACCAACTAGCCCAAGCTGCCACACTTCTAAGTGACATCATACGCGAGCGCACAGGGAGAAGAGGGGGGGAAGGGGGCGGGGGGGGCAAGGATAGCGCCATACATTGGCATGATAAATGGGGGGGGGGGGGGTGCTGCGACGAACCTTCGCCCCCTAAAGGGGAAAGTCATGATGACCTCGCTGTGGTGACGTCATCCCGTGATGACGATCTTTCGCGTCACATCTTGTTGATGCCACGTTACTATATAGTAACGTTGGTTGACGCCGCCAACGCTTTCTTCCAAGCTGGCAGGAAAGACCGTCGCTGGCACACGAGCCGGCCGAGGCGCGTTAACGGTAAATCCAGGGCACGACTTTACGCGGGCAGGTAGCCAGTCATACCGATTACGTCACCAAATGGGGAAAATAACATATCTCAAACCACAAAAGCTGAGACAGCGCTCACAAAAAAAGCACCCTCTTAAGATCAAACGCGCGCGCTTTAAAATTACGCTCGGCTTGGCTTGAATTGGATTCGCTGGCTCAAAGGCTCAGCTAAAGTGGTACTAAAATCATGGAGTAAAGATTAAAGAACGGAAGCCCATAGCAGCACGTACTGCAATATTGGCCGGAACATAAAGCATTTTTTGCACCCTTTAGAACCAGAAGTTTCGGTACCCATTATTCCCAGGGTGGTATAAAATGAAGATTGTTGGAGTGAAAAGTATTGTCACGGGGTGAAGCTTGAAGGGGCATGATAAAAGAGTCGGCGTTCGGCGAAGTCATGGAGGAAGGAATGGACGAAGTAGACGGAGCGCTTTCGCGTTTAATGTGAAAACTTTTTCAGGTCCCATGCTGTTCGAAGAGTGTTTTAGTGTTAACAGTTTTAAATTTCGACGTGGCATTTCGTCGGGAACACCTATATACACTTTTTAAATTAACGTAGCATTTATACTAACAGCTCAAAGCCACTTGATATGTATGTGTACACAACCAGAAAGGAGAAATAGTTTCACAGTTCTCTAGAGGGCACGTTGAGTTAAGTCATTGTGGCTATGAAGTATTAAATAATGGGGCACTGATATAGACACCACCGGTCAAAGGCTTATTTGCATTATTTCACACCACGGCGTACATTTTCAAAACCACAACAGGTTCTGATGTGTATATAGGGTTCAAACCCACAGTTATCCTCCCACAGTTTCACCTGAGCGCTCTATGCCTTTAAGTAATGAACACGAATCTCAGAGGCTCTTTTCCGCTATGATTGAAAAGAGAAAACGGGAGGCGTTGTCATGACGACGGCGGCACACAAACAGCACGCGTACATTGCGGGAAAGCAATCTTTGCAGGCGACGCCTACTTCGACAACATTACACAAAATAGGCCGTGGAAGCAGCTCGGTGAAACGTGATTTCAAGCACAGCGTGCATAGATAAACGATGTCTTACAGAGAACTAAGAAGTACGGAGTCGCCCTTTCAGTTAGAAACACTGCGCATGCTTTCCTGCGAGCAGTTTTCGTTAACTATTTCATCTTTTTTTTTTCAGACTTCACTGAAATGACCAGAGCACTTGGTTACCCGAGGCTCATCTCGCTGGAGAACTTTAGGACGCCCAATTTCCCCCTCGTGGCAGAAATTCTGCGATGGCTTATAAGCAGGTATATATAAGCGCGCTCGATATGCGTGACATCTCGTCATATACCTGTCGCGTCTCCCAGGTACGATCCCGACATCGAAGAACCGCCCGACATTGACACGGAACAAGACAGGGTGATGTTCATCAAATCTATCGCTCATACAATGGTAATTTATCCCGATCCACTATACCCCTATCATGCGCTTTATAATTTGTTCCTTAATCACTCTATTTTCTCTCGCACGCGCATGACTTGAGGGGAAAAAATAATGCGTCTGCATGCCTAGCAAGTCTAAATGATTTGTTTTTTCACGATCTACACTTTCTCTTCAGAGTGCCTTCTTATTTCTTTTCTTTTTTTAACGCAATTTATTTTAGCTTGCACGATTGCGTATATCTTTTTTTCCGAAAGCTGACTTCTTCGCAATGCGACTCATTGTGCGGTAAAGCCAACATTTGCAAAATCCTTATATTGTGTGAAATATGCATGCATAGTTCGCTTATCGAGAACACTGTTTTAAACACAGCTTAGCCTTAGATGACAGGGTGGTTAGTTCGTGCCTGACAGCTAACAGCCTTGCCACCTATTTACACATTCTCGTAGTGTTCGCGCATCTCAACGGTCGACCAGCCACTTTCCGAGAAATAAATCTTGGAATGCCGCAAGGATAAAGCTTCACGCCGGAAAGCGACAGTGACGCTGTTGAAGTTCTGGCATCGTTGAACGATTTGAACATTCCCCCGTCTCTGTGTGCGCGTGTGTGGCACACACTCAGGATAGCAAACCAGATATTTCTTTTCCGGTTAGCCCCTGCCTTTCTGCATCTCGTTTCTCTCTCATGCGCTAGTAGACCCACACAAACACACATTTTTGTTTGCAAAAACTGTAAACCTGACACAACACCTGGTAATTAAGGGGTTGCACGCTTACACATAAGTACATTCGTTCTAGCTATGTCATATTTACACCAATTCACATTATGCAATATTTTAATAAATGTTAAAGGAGAAAAAGTCTCATGGTGTACACTTTGCATAATTGATTACATACATTATATATCCATACATGCACAGGAGTGTGTGGTGTGCTGTGAGGTACATTTTTCATTCTGAATGATGAAATGGCATTAGAACAAGACGAAGTTGAGAGGACTCAAGCATGGCGCTGCGAATTGCGTTAGCATATTGGGTTAGGCTGGTTGGTACGTACTGATTTTGATTAATGAATCAGTGCTAGAAAACGCAAAAAAGAGGCAGATCCTCTTGTGTTCATCTCGTTCTAGCATCGTTTCATCATCCAGTGTACCAATTATAGCGCAATTCAATGCACTAATATGCTACATTTCTCTGAAGAGAATATTGAACGAAACTTTACACATTTTAAAATTTATTTTTCTCATATTCCGTTACTCACAGGCCACAAAAGCACACCTGAAACTGAACACGCGCAAGCTGTACATGGCCGACGGATACGCCGTGAAGGAGCTTCTCAAAATCACCGCGCTGCTGTACAACGCCATGCGAGCCAAGACGGGAGACGAAGATTCGAGCGGCGCTGATCTGAGGGTCGCCATGCCTTACCAAAACTACGACACCGCGTCAAAGGTACGCACAGGCTGCTTGCTCACTTTCAGAGCGAGTGTTCCAACTTTTGCGACTCCATTTTTGTTGTTTTCATGAGGTAAATTGCATTCATTTGCATCATCGATTTGCAGTTTTCTGACTTGAAAATGACGCGTCAGCTGGCTTCCGAAATAACCCAGCAAGGTGCCGTGCTCTACGACCGGCTGGCTAAGGAAGCCGAACTCAAGGTGTGCAGCTCTAACCTTTTTTTTATTGTCACAATGACAAAAATTTTGAAGTACGCTGAAAAATCAGCCACTCGCACAACCCACAACTGTACGCTACTTATGTCTTTAGTTTCATGGCATTCACTTTGTTTCGGTAAATTCATAATGCCTACATCACGAAGATTTTCACCTGCACTATTTTTGTCAGTTTACACTATGGCATAATCACATATTTATGCCATACCAGTTTTCTTTTCCTTTCATACTTTGAACTTGTGCTCTCTCTAGCATCTGTGACACTTTCACAAATGTATTTATCTTTTTCTCCTGCTACACTTGAAATGCACGTGCTTTAATATCAGAAGGTTTCCCTCCCCCACCCACCTCTCATCAGTTTTAGTAACTATTGGACCCCTGATTGTAATACATGTATGCATGTTTCTTTTTTGTTATTGCTTTTGTCTACCTGCACTTGACACTTAACATGGTTACGTAACATTAGCAGGCGGTCTCTCTCATCAGTTTTCAAAACTGTGAAACCTCCACATGTAATGCACATCACTAAGAATGTAATGTAATATGCAAGGAAACTAAACAGACTTCGTTCGGCTTGACTACCGAGTGTAAAGATGTTGAGTGCTTTGCATACGATTGCACATGCCAGGGTAGTGCATCAGGAACAGAAACACTGATTGGTACTATATTTAAAACACCTTATGTATAACTTTGATTGTGATTAGGTTTATGCTGCAAGTTTGAATAATATATGTAGAATGTTTCTTGGTAAACTTAATCATTAAACTAGAAAATAGATGACTTGTGATGTTAATACGTCGCCAAGTGTAGCTGGTTGACATCTTGCATTGTTTTTCATAATGCTTTACGTCAGGCCCACTTTCTGCATGGCCACTTGCCAAACAAGTGCTGCTTATTTTGAAACACACTTTACATCAACATTTTTCATTGTTGCTTTTTTTTTTCAGGAAATCCGGACTGCCACTTTGTCCAAGCAGCTGGAAATAACAGACATTGAGAAGTGCCTTCAAGATGCCATCAAGGCTGTGATTGTGAGTCCGCCTCGTCAAGCACGGGCGATGCCTTGCATTCTCATATTGCTCTAGGCATGACCAATGCGGCTAATGATAAGTGAAAGGTGCATTATGTAGGTTTTCGCATAAGGCAAGGTGTAGGTATGGAAGGACAAATGTCTTATACAAGACAGAACATAAAATGCCGCTCAGTTCAAAGCCTAATTCCAGATAGGAAGAGCCACAAATTTCTCCCTGCCCACACCAGGTGTGAAATTGTACATATTGGTAGCAGAGTCCAATATCTGCACTTCAGGTGGCGCAAACTCGTATGGAATCTAAGGTTGTCGAAGTCTCTCGTACGCGACAACCAAAATGAGCTAGAACTGTCAGGACCACTTCGTTGCCATCCATGACATGCTGATGCTGTCAAGAGATGACGCTGTTAAAGTTAACCGAGACAAGGGTGTCAACATTCATAATGCTTTAAGATCGCTCATGACAAAGTGAGTGAAACGCTCTTTAGGGTGAGAACTTCAACCAGAGCTGCGTGGAAATTCCTTAAGGGTGACAATCGCTCATGACTAGCTGAGGTTGTCAAATCCCAGGACCAAAGTCACTTAAACGAACGGAGGTGGCTAGGCTTCCCTAGAAGGCCAGTAAACAATCCCGAGGTTCAAAAGTTGTTATAAAAACAAATATTCACACCTTTGCTTTATGAACAAGCTGCCGCAAGAATTTTGCCAATACCTACTATATGAAGAAAGTTACAGGGGTTGAAACATCGGTTTCAGCCGAAATTCTCGCGCGGCTTCGCCACCGTTCTCCCTCACGGGGAGGGGTAGCCCGTCTTTGGGACTTGTTTAGACCAATTGACGAGCTGTGTGCTACGTCAAGTCGTCGATCGGCGACTCTGCGTCACTGCGCATGAAAGGAGGATTGGTCAAGCGTAGGAAAAGAGCGCAGGAATTTTTTTTTTGAAATGGAGGCTCTGTGCAGCGGGCAGTGCTATATTATTCAAAAATAGTGATAGCCACAGTATACTCTACGAACTGCCGAGCTTCTTTGGGAGATGTAAAAAACATCAAAGCCTGTTGACTAGCCCCGCGATTATTGAGCTGAGACAGCCAAGGTTGCTTCAGGCAGCGGTCACTAATAAATGAGATGAGGTTGTCGAGATTTTACAGGCAACAACCATCTGTGACAAAATGGGGACAGTTTTTTTTAAGTTACAACTACTCAAGCAGAGTGGAAGTTTTAAAGAACTAAAAGGCACCCATCACTCAAAGCAAGCCGATAGAATCTGCACTGCTTAAGCATGACAATCACTCATGAAGAATGGAGGCTGGTCATCAAAAGCTCTCAAGGGTTACGTCCACTTGCACAAGCCGACTGTGTTGGAATTCCTTGTGCAATGACAATCCTCTGCAACTGATTAGCTGAGACTGTCAAAACCGCTTTCGGGTAACTGTCCCTTGTGAATGAAATGACGTCAACTTTCTTTACAAGTGGCAATCACGTGCAACAAACTGAGTACAAATTTTTTGAAAGCGACATTTACTCATGCAGAGCTGTTGAGATCACTAAAGGGTCACCCTCACTCCAAGCAAGCTGATGGTTTTGAAATTTCTTTAGCGTGATAACTGTCCGCTAACAATGTATGTAGTTTGGTTGTCAACAACAACAATGTTCTGCCACATCATTCTCATGGCTTAGAGAGTTCGTGAAATCGTACAGAGCTGCGACGCTATTGAACCTGGTATAATAGGTCTTTACATACAGAAAGGAATTGATGAAAGAAAGCACAAGCACTATGTCCACGGATTCACCACAATTTGCTCTTATTGGTCACCAAATGATTAAGCATCGTCTTATCAGGTCATATTTTTGTTTATTTTTGTCGCCTGCTCAGGAGCAAACAAGCGAGCTTCAACGTCGAATTGAGTCGGTGGCATCCGACGAAGCCAACCTTGAAGCCAAAATCGAAAAGAAGAAAGCCGAACTAGAGCGAAACCAGAAGAGGCTCGCAACACTTCGAGCAGTCAGGTTAGTCTAGGAGAATTAGAGTATGGCTTCCATGTACTTCATCTTAAATCATAAGCTTGCGCAGGGTACCCCTTTGGGGGGGGGGGGCAAAGGCTTACTGCAGTGCCCCCACCCTTCAAGTCAACTCTTAGGTGAATAGGAAAGGCAGCTGCCCCCCCCCCCCCCTCCCTTGTCTGTAGTGCGAATGCCCATTCCTTCAATCACGTTTTTCAGTTCAGTTCAGTTTATTCATTCATTCAAAATACAAAATTAAGATTATAACTTTATCATCTTAAATACAGGCATATTACATAGATATGTTAATTGGTCATTCTACGATTTCTTATATGCGTTTCAAGAAATTCAGTCACTTTTTTGTTTGCACAACTTCCACCAAGCTCCTCATACCCGATGTCTCACGGGTACGTTGAAATAAATAAAGTATATTCTATTAAGTACTTGTTGTCCAACAAGCCGGAGAGTCTAAAAAAAAGGCACGAGTCGGGGGATATGGACGCTCGTAATGAAAAATTCATAAACAGGGGACATGCTGAAGCCAGCACATTCCTAGTTAACGAATTTTTCAAGTCAAAGAGTGTGTCCTTTATCCACAATTCAGAGCCAAAATTACGAGAAAGTTTTCTATTTCTTGCTATTTGGTGGGCAATGGTGATGAGGCTTCTTTAGAGTAAATGTGAGAATAACATTGTTGATCCCTGTCACAAGAATCAGTAAAACACAATAGTGAATCTTGTCTTCGCAGGAGTACGGTTAATTGGTGAATATTATCAGTGGCTTTATGTCCCAAGGTTGATTGCTAATTGTACATTGATGCATGTATAAGAGATTGCACAATGTCTATTGGTGTTTAGCAGCTATAGAACCATCTCGTGCAAATGCACACACGTTGACGCTTATTGGCACATCTCCATCCCAACGATTTAACACCAAAAAACGTAATTAAAACAGTGACGTAGCTGCTGTAGCTGACATACACTTGGCCACAGCATATGCCGAGACCCACACAAAGATGGCACCGACAAACTCACAACTTGAGTACTTGATTTTTACTCATTGAAAGCACCATCCTGGGGTTCTTTAACGAACACCTAAATCTAAGCACACGAACCTCGGGCATTTTCGCCTGCATGGAAAATGCGGCCACAAAGACCAGGATTCGATTTCACGACCTGCGGGTCAGCAGCTGAACGCCTTAGCCGCTAGACCACCATGGTGGGTTTCCAGGTCATCCAAATCAATGAAACATTTTCTCCTGGTTTCTCTTTGTTATCGGCTCATGTGTATTTTGGACGTCATATTCGTGAAGACGACAATGTCAGTCAAGTCTCAATGGACACTGGCATGAAACACTTCCGTGTTAAAAATATTGTTTCTTTGACTTGATGTGGTTTTAGGAGGTGGCAAGCACAGCCTAGGCTGTATATCTTATGATGTGTCCTATTCCAAGTTATAACTATGAGTAGATTTAGAATTGAAACTTTCTTTTATAAAAACTTCTGCAATGTGAATACCCTTGTCATTTTTTTTGGTTCTTTTTCGGTGTCCGTGCATCTTGAAAAGGCCCGCATTCATGGACGAGTACGAGAGAATTGAGGAGGAACTATCCCAGGTGTATGCAACATACGTGGTCAAGTTACGATGCCTGGCCTACCTGGAGGAACAACTTGAGGAGCTCGAGAAAGCTCAGAAGATCGAGTTTGCCGTGAGTGCCTCTCAAGTCCCACCTGAAGACACGAAACGCACCTTCTTAACATCATCGCTATACAATACACTCTCAGCAAACGGGAATTTCTTAAACATAATTGCTGCTTAAATGGCACTTGCCCTAATATGGTTATTTTTATACTTTTATTTTGAATCCCTGCTAGTGCTTCACATTTTTTACCTGCCTGTGCTGCTGACATTCTGAGATAGTATCGAAAGTTTCGCGCTTTTTTAACGTTACAGATAAATAATTAAAATTCCGACTTCTAATACTTTTTTTCCAATGGTATGTCGTTATTTAAAAAGTACACTAAATAGCCACATAGAACATCATTTTGACGAAGGAAGATTGCTACTCACAATCCATTCCTGAAAAAAAAAAAAAAGTCATGCTGCAAAACAATCAAAGCTTGTTATATATATTATTTACGCCTTTACCACGGAACTCAGAGCATGTTTCAAAAAATCGATTCGAGATTCGTGCTGCAAAAAAAGTCTAAAGAAACCAGCATAAATACTATAGCAGTATTTCAAATTGTTACCAACGAATACCACAATCAAATTGATTGATTGATTTGTGGGGTTTAACGTTCCAAAATCACCATATGATTTTGAGAGACGCCGTAGTGGAGGGCTCCAGAAATTTTGACCACCTGGGGTTCTTTAACGTGCACCCAAATCTGAGCACACGGGCCTACAACATTCCCGCCTCCATCGGAAATGCAGCCGCCACAGCTGGGATACCACAATCAAATTGCTCCTTACTATGGTTTTGGGTATTAACACTGCATATCTTAGCAAAGCCGCCCTGCTTTTGCATACCAGTAACTCTGCAAATAAATCCTTTTTATTCATCTCAATTCACCTCATTTAAATTACGTACGTTACAAATTAATAATTTGCATTCTTTCTCATGAAGATTCAACAGTACACTACCAGCACTGAAGTCACCCTGGCTGTCAAAATTTAAATAATTGCTACACAGTACTTGGCCTGTACAGGTCCTACAGCTCCTGAACATTTTAACTTTTGTACGATGTCAGACATGACACTACGCCCGAGTGTAGTATGAGAATCAAGGAGCAACTGTCCCAAGTTTACACAGTCAGTTAGACGGGATATGCCAATGCATTCACAAGCCTATAGACTACCATAGGATCTTTCATGTACTACAGCGTTAAACTCCTGCATGCAAATGTGCTAGTCGCTTCCTAATGGTGTGTCGTATTCAAGTAAAAAAAGAGAAGCGCCGAGTCACAAGGTGCAATAGACATACACTTCGCCGAATACCCAACAAGTAGTGAATATATTAATCAAACTCGCATAACACTTTGTGTACGAATGAGATCGCATGAAGGTGCATCAAGTATTACAAACAGTTCACCAATGTTTTAGGTACGCGAACAGAGGATGAAAACTGCGGCACGTCCGAGCGACCAAGATCTGGGCAACAAGCAAGAGTTTGGAGAGGCTTTGGGACTGGGTGCAGCAGGTGAGGTCTTACTCGATTGCAACGTGCTGACAAAGTGGGCAAACGATGAAGCACAGCTCTTGTTTATGCAAAGATTGCACATGCATATGAAGTTTTCAGTCACCGGCACATTTTTGAGGCACCGGCACTAAGTGCCATAGTGACAACCACCAGGTGTATACAGAGTACGCTGTGTTTTGAGAATAAGTGACTAAGGAATAGTATAAAAATATTTAATGTTCTACGCAATCTCCTTACCAACGCAGACAAAAGAAATCTGAGCCAAGGCACTGCTTCATTGCTCATGCCATGCAGTGAAGCATTTGCCGATCTTCCGGAGACACAGGTGCACTCGTGCACTTCTCACATAATTTTTTTTTAACGAGAATAGCTTCCTTGTGTTTCAACATAGACGGATGCCAACAATGCGAGCAATGTATAAATCAATCAGATGTCCAATGAACTTCACCACTCCGCATGCCATCCCCTCTTTCCATTAGCCACTTCTCCCTGCATGGGTTGGCGTTTCAAAATATGCATAGAAGACTATTTATTTGTGTTTTTGCAGATAATATAGAAAAAAAACTACATTACGCGTAGTCCTAAAACGTCTAGCACCGCTCTATTGCATGGAGCCGAGATGTGCTCCAGCAACCTTTTTGTGAGCCAGCGCCAGTGCTGGCTCGCAGCCGCCGCTAGCTCGCAGCCGCCGCTAGCGCACTGTGCCAGCACCAGTGCGCTGTGCCCAAGCGAGATGTGGACCTCGCATGTAACCATAGCAAGGATACGGTTGCACAGAAAGGTTAGAAGCTACGCATCTGGGGCGAAGACCACTTGAGGTTGTAAACAAAACCAACCCCTGAACGGATGCAGATGTCCCAGGCTGATGCAAAACATCATCGCCGTGAGAGCTTGAGGCCGAGTTGGAGTCTTCTTCAGACTCAAAGCTTGTTGTCACTCAATTCAGGTGCGGTCGCAACACAGTTTAGAGCAGCAAGCCTTGCTACCGGCGCATGTGTGCACCCACACGCATGCCGACGACGCTATAGGAGCGACCAGCGACACTGATGTGGCCCTGTGTCTGATATAACAGTACAAACGAAACTGAAACTGTTTGGAAACTGACTGAAAGGGCCACTTCCGCATGTTATACGTGCAGCGGACCGTCAAAAATAACTTTTTTTGAAGAATCAACCTTTTCAAACTCCAAATAGCTCTACTAAAACAAAATTCAGGCAATTATTACTGCTCAACACTGTCACTATGCAAAAGTGATACCATAATTTGATATTTGACTTGGAAGGGTTCTTTTGATCGCAGAACTATGTTACTCAAGCATAACAAGCGGCATGCATTTCTCTTAAGTGCATCAGCCAAGCACATTTTCTCAACACACGCACATAGGTTCGTGATTAGGTCAGTCAAACATCACTTCACTGTCATAGCGGGCAAATTAAAACTGATTCTGAAAGTTCAATGGCTGTACTAACTACTAGAATGTTCTATGTGCACGAAAAACAAACTAAACATACTGAAAACGATGATTCAAAGCATTGATCACCCGTGATTAACTTGAATAGACATGGTAACGCAAGAGTTAAGGGGCCCCTAAACGAATTCATAAAACACAAAGAATGAGCATGTTATCTCCTCCTGGCATCTCGTTTTTTGTTTTTCTTTTTTCAGCCCAATTAGTGATGCCATTTGTCCATTTCCGCTATATCACAAGAAAACAGGCCCACCATTGGTTTGTATACGAGGGACTTGAGCCATGACTATTACCTACCCTGCTTTTTTATGCAGTAGCATATCCGTTCCATCTTGTCTCACATGACTATTGTACGTGATCTACCGATTTCACATTGTATTGTGCACTTTCAACTTTGCAACTGGAAATAAACGTGTGTAACTAAAAAGCGCGGAATCATGATAGGCTCAATGCTTAACGCTGACACTGTCCACATCTTTCATGAAGAATTAAGTGGTGAGGAGGAAACGGCGCCTGTTGGGATGGCAGCCGAGGCAAAAAAGACAACCCCTTCATCTTTGACCTCGGTAATTTAGGGGCCTTGTAAAGACCGATTACAAAAAAATCTACATGAGTGCCAGCCTTTCCGAGACTGCTTCAGTTGAGTACACTACTCAATCACACAGAATTAAGATGTGATGAAATTTTTTTCTATCTGGTCACTCCACTGTCACAGCAGTGGGCAAAACGCATTCTGACCGCGAAATGTTTTTCTACGCAGATCCCGAAACCCGCGCCGCGGCAGGGAGATTGTTGTTCGGATCCATGGCAGGCGGCGACAAGGTATGTCAAGTACATCAAGGTTGCGTGTTACGTCAAGTTGCATGTTTACAAAAGCTGCACCCTATTTTTGCTGCCCAGAATTGCATCACATGCCTTGACGCTTATTTCAATGTCAAGTGCGCAAGCTTGAGTCTCAGACATGCAGCCTAGAAAGAGGTACACAGAAAAAATATTGTTTTAGCATTGGATGGTAAGCAATTATAAGTGTGCAAACTATAGAGATGTAGGTCTATCTCAGCCAACGATTGAATAGCGACTGTACTGTACAGGGCACCACATACCGTGATGCCCTGTTTGTCCAGCTCCAACAAACAGATCTTCACACCGGGAGTGAAAAAAAGAAGATAGCGAGAGTACTGCGACCGAATCAAACACACTGCAATAGCGCTCACTGTCCTTGTCTTGCCTCTGTCATCATTCTGTTCTCACGCTATAACTATCGTCATGTCATACCAACTAGCCCGAACTGCCACACTTCTAATGTACTTGTCAGCCTCAGTACAGCAATTAAAATAACATATCAAGTCAAAGTTCGTGCACATGACATAATGTACATTATTCACAATGAAGAACACTTTTGAATAGTGCTACAATATATTGTTATGTTAATATAATGTAATGTAATAAAATCTAATATGTAATTAAGGCAGTGCTGTACATAACAATGCAATATTTCTTCAGATGAGGGCAGGGTCTGCCGAAAGAGTCTAGGAGTGTCTGTCAAGTAATGCAGCTTTGAAACTGTAAAATATCTCAGAAGTCGGCATTTTCATTGCATTTTGAACATGACAATTATTCGAAAGCATGTCGAATGTTCCTTCTTTTCGCTCAGATCCTCGACTCAGACTCTGACCTTGACCTCGAAGGCGAGGACGAAGGGTCGGACGGATCCTCGGACGACGACCTCGAGCTTGACCTCGAAGCCATGGGTGGCATCAAGCCTCCCAACAGGCGCTCCCAGTCACAGTTCATTGACAGCGACAACGACTTCTGATGCACTTGCAGTTGCTTCGAGCGACGATGCATTCGAGCGAGATTCGCGCTATTACACGCCACACGCTTGTCTTGCATCGCACTAAATTATTGGGGTGCTTTAGAAATCGTGCCTTTGCGTAACTCAAGGAATGTTAGCATGTAGATGTCTGCAAGTAGACAGCCTCACTCCCTCCTTGCATCTTACTGTAAACGACCGTGATTTATTTCGTACACTCCACTGTTAGCATCCCCACGAACAAAAGACTTATTCTCAAAAATTTCTGCTTAGTTGCAAAAGCTTGGAGTGAAAGATCAATCGTACAGAAGCTATATAGGGAGCGATTGGTTACATCATTCTACACATGTTCACGAAATGCACAGGTGCTCTAGAGCCTCAGTTAGCATGCAGTTCAATAAAACTTTACCTGGGCGAATTGGTTCATACTTCAAATGAAAACTGGTATGAACGGAATTACAAACAGGGACCAAGCGTGACGAACATGTACAGATGCAAACTTTCTAATGACATTTATTTTTCACGACTCTTCAAAAGTATATATGCGTAAGCAGATAGTACGCGTAAAAGCGGCCCCATGGTCACAAGCCAGCAGATTACATCAAGGCATGTTGTGTGTGCCTTGTTACAACAAGGCTTGCTTAATGTGTCCCCGTTTGTCATTTTGGATATACCAGTCTTAACTTGAAATAAGAGCGCAACTTGAGATTTGGTGGCAAGTTCTTGTCAATTCACTTTTGCTTCTTTTAACGCCATAGCGTTAAAGAGCTTGTTTTGTAGAAATTCTGCGGTCTGCATAAGCGTCGTTGTTTGTGAGCGAAAAATCATCATCTTGTGTGCGACTGAAAAATCAAGAACGATGCAAATAAAATAAATTGATAAAAAATCCTGGAGCAGACTGGGGATCAAACTCAGGTCGTTTGCGTGGCAAGCGGATGTTCTACCACACGGCCACGTCTCTGCTTGTGAAAACAGTGAAAAGAACTTCCTCTGCTTGGAAATGCAGTGAAAGTAGCTTCACGATTCAGAAGCACGCATGTCCTGAATACATGCTTCACAATGCAACATGAAATAATGCAGTAATAATGTGTGGTACAAGCGTCCTATTGCCAACAGGCGTCAAAATAAGGAATTACCGAAATGGCTCCGTGGTTGAAAGCCAGTACCCCACTACGAAAGGCACACGCTACTGCACCTATTTCTTTAAGCCACGTATAGTGGGTGCATAGCAAATTCGGAAAGATTTCATGCACTAAGTGCTTCAAGTACGCACTAGGGACAGGATATCGGTATTGCGTTCAGCTCCTAAAGACGAAGCCTAAGGATCCCCCAATTTCTTTGTCCAGTTATAACCACAATTCCACTAGAATTTACAAATAAAGTCCCGTATGTTCTCTAAAGCTTCAATACCTGTTGGCTTTATCGATTCAGGTCTTGTGTTTGGTATGGTCGCTAAAACCTTGATATAACGAACCAGGATATAACCAATTATTGGCAATAATAAAGTAAATGAAGAATAGCAGTTAGGTACAGTGATACAAATACGTTAATAACAAATTTTTCAAATAACGAAGTATGTTCTCGGCAGATGTGACCATGTTATAACGAGGTTCGAGTGCCTATAAATAGGTGCTGTGTACACACTCACGTGATGAACTGGCCTTTTTTTTTCTTAAAAAAAATTGATGCCGATCCGGGGGGAGGGTAATTTGCTGGAGAAAGAAAGCCACAGGAGTTATAACAGCAAAAGTAACGTACGATAGTATATATATATATAAAAAAATTGCCCGCAGCTTCCCTCGGGGGAACACTGAGGAGGATGCGGAGCATATAATTGGTTAACGGGGTGTTAAAGTGCGACTTACTTGGGTCGATGGCTAAATTGGTTAACGTGGTTGTGAAATGGGGTGTTAAATTGAGACTTACTTGGGTCGATGGCTAAATTGGTTAACGTGGTTGTAGGAGGGGGTGTTAAATGAGTGGACACGTACACACGTATGCGAAAGGGCGGCGCTGGTCGAAGGGACGTCGATCATTGTGTTTGTGGATTCGTTGGAATTCATTTCACCGCGACCTTGGACGTCGACGCGCCGTACAAACCAACCGACGAGCGGCAACTGAGCGAGCGAGCGCCGACCTTGAGTATATATACAGCTCGACGGCGCATTCACTGTCAGCTGTTGAATGTTCTCGAAGCGCGACGCCACATGCGCGTCCACTGGAGAATCAGGAGAATTGTAGATGTCGAACGCGGTGTGTAGAGGAGGAAGGGTGCACAGATGGTGGAGGAGTGAAGCGCGCACGGTGTGTAGAGGAGGAAGGGATGCACAGATGGTGGAAGAGTGGGCGACGGCGCGACGGCGCATGCGCGCGCGTCAGCTGTCGAATGTTCGAGAAGCGGTGCGGACGGCGCGGACGCCGCACTACAAGGCGCGAGTATAAGATGCTCCGCATCTAAAAATAAAACTCGCTTCTCAATCACTGCAGTTCTTCAATTCATGGGGCGCAAGATTACGGAGCCTCTAATCAGAACTTGGCTCTCCACAAAGAGAAACTCTTTCTGTATTGGCCCGCAAAAATGTGCGGTGGTAGTTTTTTGTAGCCAGATGCTCTTCTTGTTTTCTCCAGCGACACGCACGGATCACGCCCATGCTCCATCGCATGCTCGACCAACTTTAAAACCGGCCATGTAGCTGACTTATTGGCCGATCGTGTCCTGCGCAGCAGATGTCCGACGAAGTTCGCTACAATAATAACTGTTGAGGTTTAATGAATCAAATCACTATATGATTATGAGAGATGCCATAGTGAAGAGCTCTGCAAGCTTCGACCACCTGTGGTTCTTTAACGTTCACCTAAATCTGAGCACACAGGCCTCAAGCATTTCTGTTTCCATTGAAAATGCAAGCACCACAGCTGGGATATGATACCGCGACCTGCAAAACAGCAGCCGAGTGCCCTCGCTACGAGGCCACCGTGGCCGGGTGAAGTTCACTACAACAAGCCCGACAAACAAAACGCACATGGGATGTTGCGGGTGCACGTTGCGCCGTTAGTGCGGTTGCGCTGTTTTTTTGCTTTGTTTTCGTGCCGCTGTGCTTGCGTGGCGCTATACGGAAAATGGTTTTTTTTCGCAGTTGACAGATGGCGCTATGCCGCAACAGTTGCGACTTTTAATTTCGGCCCACACGTCCGCGCTCCCGCTGCTCGCAACTGTTTAGCACGATTGTTAAATTATACTTGACTTTAATTGCATCATTTATTGATAGCATGATTAACCATTGTTTCGATCATCAATGACATTGGCTAACACACCAAAATAACATGAACAGATACATTAAACTTTTTTTTTTCAAGAACCAATGTGGGGTTGCATTCATTATGCGAGTGGGTTCTTTATGCGACTAAATATAGCAAGCTTTAAAGATGCAGAAGTGAAAAACCAAAGGTCAGCACTCGTCCAGACACTAATGTATGGAATAAAAAATAGACGTATTTATTTCATTTCGTAGCAGAAATAAACTTTTTCAATGTGCACTCTCTTTCTCATGCACAATGAGGCACATTCAGTGAGCATGGAATGGCATGAGTGATAATTACCATGCCACCCCTAAGGTTTCGCTGTGCCGTTTAAGGGCAATTGAAAAGAAACGTTGAGAATTCGTTTAAAATCATTCCGGCAGCTTTCCGCATTGCTGTACATTGGAGCCATATAACTGAGGTATTGGCTTTTGTGAGTGAACGAATCCGATGTTTAACTTATATGTGAGTGCACATGTAAATTCAACAGGAGATGTAAAAATATATAAATCTTGTGGTATTCACCGAACGAGGATGCGAATATGTACAGGGAAACAAGTTGAACTGCGCAGCAGGGCTTGGCAGTACTGTCTTGCAACCCTACTGTACAACGACAATTTCGAAGTGCCCTCGACACAAAAGAGAAGAGTAATAAGAACACGGACGGGTAAAGTCGGAGCGAGGATGCGTCGCTCGACGAACGTTTTCGTCAGCGTTCAGATGTCCTGGTAGCCGGGCATGAAGAAAGTGAGTGCGAAGGCTTCCACCTCCTCGCGTAGCCGATTTAACCGCTCCACGTAGACGGGATCTGTCTCGAGCTTCGCCTTGAACTCCTTCAGCGTCGGCCCCGAGTTGGCCTTGACCTCCAGGGCGAAGGTCAACCCTGAGAAAGGAAGCAAAAGAAACAAACACCCAACGCAAAATTTTTTCATCATCGTTGACCCACTTGCCAAAACATGGTGCTGTCGTGCTTGTCCCAAAACAATCCCTCCATTATGCAAGCATTACACTGGCAACCATCACTAAGAAGCACACCAACAAAACGATCACCCTGCCGTCAGCCATACGGTCCACAGACGGACGGACAAGTAGGACGGACAGATCGACTAATTAATAAGTGTGTAAACGCCAAATGTAACCACAGTGAAAACAATACAAGGATGAAAGCAAACAGAATCAGACAAGCAACACACATTTCTTTTTGTTCACCACTGTTCTTGCATTGCTTTTGTTCTATGTGAATCGCCAACTAGTCTGTTAAGCTGTCTTCTAGCTACCCCACCAGAGTGCAAGGTAGCAAGCTGGACATCCACCTTCTGGCTAACCTCCCTGGAGTTTCTTACAGTTACCTAAAGGGAAATCGGGAGCCTGAAACTGTTGGATGCGTGGGAATGTATGAATGCGTCGGATTCGGTTTGGCATTCTCGAAAAGTCCGGACATCTCGAAGACATTTTTGGCTGGCAACATCACAACTGTTCATCTTGCATTACGACAGCATACAAGAAGCACATTTTTTTTTAGCATTACACAAAAACTAAGTTTTATTTAAAGAGTCCCAGTAACACTTCCCCGAGTAACCATCAAATGGCCTCGCGAAAGGAATTTGATGCCTCATGAAATGACCACCGCAGAAATATGCCAAGTACGACTGGAGTTGCAGAAATCTGTTTTGTCTCCTCTTGGTCAAACAAGTGCGCTGAAAGCTAGGCAGGGAGGGATGGCAAAAAAAAATTATGTCACACGTGCGTCATAACCTTGAGAAGTTCATATATACTTTTTTCTTTGAAAATGCAGCATGCTTTCAATGGGATCGTGAGTGCATGTGGTCATATGATGGTTTCCTGTGGTGGCCATGGCAAGTCTTGATGCTCGAATAAGCCAATGGCTACAAATTTGGGTATATAGCGCAGTCATTTGACTATATAGCATATTTTGTAGAAAAAAAGAAAAATGTTCTAACTGACTTTCAAAATTAACAGTAAATGCCAGGAAGCATACTGTGCTATAACGTTAGGCTCGCCTGTTCTGAAGAGCCCCGACTATTGATTGGAGGCATTTTTTGACAATGTTGAAGGAGTGTTGCAGGGCCCCTTGAACTCCGTGAATTTCCACTCGCACGCACAGCCTTATCAAACGCAAGAAGTATCAACCAGTGTATAAACAAGTGACAAGGTCGCCATTTTCGGTGCGACGGTTTGTAGTCTGTTAGCTAATTTCACTGCTAATTATACCCTTAGGGTAAGTGAACCTTCATTGTAAAATGTAATGCACTTTGATGAGATCTATTCCCGAAGGTTTCATTAAAAGCATGCCTTATTTGCCTGCCAGGAGCAAATTGTCTTAATACAAGCCTCATTAAACGCCAGTCAACATAAGCCTCGCCGGTACATGGCATCAATTCCAGCGCGGCAAATTTTTTTAAGATAATTAGGGGCGAGAAAATGTTCAAAATATGGAGTATTCTTCGAACTGTTTGCTATTCGATTCTATTCACACTGGAACCCTACTATTCAAACACCAACGACCAGTTGGGAAATCCCCTTCTGATACTCGGCATTCTTCTCCACATCATACTCGTATTGCGGCAAAGCTGTCCTTCAGGCCTTGCTACAATTGCAAATGTAATGACTAAAGAAAACACTGGTTCCAACATGGAGATGATAGATATGGTGGAGGTAGGGGTTCTGCTAACACTGTTTAGGACCTGAAATTTGGGCAGAAAGTCCAAAAACTTGGACACAGAAGATTTTTAGCATCGAAATTTTGGGATCGTCCTAAATATATTTATGTCTACGAGGCAGATTTGGAACTGTGGACATGAAGGGAGCACAACCTTTTCTGCCACATCAGCAGGGCTTCCACAGAAGTTGAAAGAGGAGGAGAGGATGAGGAAATAGCATCTTTGCCCTTCAAGTGTCAAGTGTTGTCGGCAACGGCAACACTTCAGTCACACTAAATTCTGCACATAAATACAATTTGGCCTCAGCATTGGCCCATTTTGATAAGACAAATATCAAATACCACCATGCCAGGACTTCCTCAACATAGTCAAAAGAAACACTGCCATGTTGCATCGTAATTTTTTTTTCCTTGCAATGTCACTTCGAAGCATTAGAAAAATATTCGAGAAATATTCCAAAAGTATTCTATTCGATTCACACTCACTTTTCAATATTTGACTTTGCTTTGCACCCAAAACTGTGCTATTCACACAGCTCTAATGATAACGTACTAATTGTTCAGCTTTTACATCCCCACAAACCCCGATACGATTACGAGGAAAGCCTTATTTGAGGGCTATATAGATTACAACCACCTTAAGTTCTCGAACAGGCACCTTAATCCAAGTACAGAGGGTTTCTAGTGCTTTCACCCCCATCAAAAATGCGGCCGCCGTAGCCGAGATTCGATCCCACAACCTTTGGGTCGGCAGTCAAGCCACATTTCTCAGCAAAACCCGCGCAGACCACATTTCCCTCTGGGCGACACCGTGGAAAATTCTGTGGTTGCCGTTTGTAAACAATGAAAACAGCGGTGCGTGCACCCACCTCTGTGAATGAACTCCGCCACCTTCACGATGTCCTGCTCCTTAAGGCCACGCGTGGTGAGAGCAGGGGTGCCCAGCCTGATGCCGCCAGGGTTCAACGCACTCTTGTCGCCCGGCACCGTGTTTTTGTTGCAGGCGATAGACATGAGCTCGAGCACACGCTCCGCGCGGGGCCCGTTGAGGCCCGTGGGTCGTAGGTCGACCCAGACTAAGTGGTTGTCCGTGCCGCCTACAACAGGTTATGATGTGCAAATGTATGTGTAAGAACACGCACGTAGACGTACAGTTATTTTGCTACAGCTAACTTGTTATACTGTTGTTAAATCACAGTTGTGATACTGCAGTGCTAATGAGATGATGTCAACTAACTGGTGTATTGTAGTTGGGCATATGTTAGACCACCGTTGCAATGTTGTGCACCGACCCAATGCACAAGAAAGTGAGGACAGAAAAACTTGTAGGAACAAGTATCTAGAAGCTTTTCAAGCACAATGCATAGTATGCCACAAAAAACACAAAGAAAAATTTACAAAGAACTATATATTACATGACAATTGTCTCCTTGTCAATAGCAATCATTCCGTTAAGGTTACTGTTAAGGTTAAGCATTAAGCAATATTAATAATAACTGCTGCAGACTGAAACCAGGAACATACTGAAGTCAGGCTTTGAGCAAATTCCGGTTTCATTTTTGGCAGTAGACGACTTTTAGGGAGAACAATGAGGTTGAGTTGGGGTACACTGTATGCGGATTCCCGAGAAGGCAAGTGGGTTAACGGGAGACAGAAGGTTAGGTGGGCAGATGAGATTAAGAAGTCTGCAGGTATAAATTGGCAGCAGCAAGCACAGGAACGAGTTGGCTGGCCGAACATGGGAGAGGCCTTTGTCCTGCAGTGGACGTAGTCAGACTGATGATAATGGTGACGTATGCTGATGATTCGGTGACAATAAGCGCAAAGACTGCTAAGAAAACTCAGCTGGCGAGCTCTTGGCTTCGTTTTGAAGTACATGAAATACGTACGTACCTACTATTCTGTAATGCGCAGAAACGCCACTGCGCAACTGGGTGGTAGGCTACAGGGTATGCTACAAATACTATCAAGTGCACAACTCTTGAAACACTAGCTGTGGAAAGCACAGGAAAGACAGTATAGAAGCAACCTTGAGTCCCTTACGGTGTAACTTCGCATAAATCAGCCTGTAGGCGAGGCGTTACAACAAATTCAGGAATTACAAAACAATAGACTGAATGGCTCATTGGCTAGAAATGCAGCCCAGGTTACCTCAGCAAGAGCCAGAAGGACCACAAAATAAACTACTGGAAAAATAAAAATGGAATTCCTACATTTTACAACATTCCTACATTTGGTCTCGCTATCTTATTTTGTACAGAAATTTGGTAACCAACAAGTTTAAGTTTGAGCACTCCTTCTGAAAAACGTAATACGCACACACTGGATGTCACATGAGCTTGCTTGTGTATGATCCAAGCCCAAGTTAAAACTAATGTCTAGGTCCCAATCGACAATTACCGTTGATTGATATGTGGGGTTTAACGTCCCAAAACCACTATATGATTATGAGAGACGCCGTAGTGGAGGGCTACGGAAATTTAGACCACCTGGGGTTCTTTAACGTGCACCCAAATCTGAGCACACGGGCCTACAACATTTCCGCCTCCATCGGAAATGCAGCTGCCGCAGCCGGGATTCGAACCCGCGCCCTGCGGGTCAGCAGCCGAGTACCTTAGCCACTAGACCACCGCGGCGGGGCGACAATTACCGTTGCTGTGAGGCCCAGTTGTCTATATCTACATCGGCAAGCTTCAGTGCCCAAGGCTACGTGGGTCAAAACCACTTTAAGAATTCGCTAAATAATAATAAATATTGTAGAGCGAACACCTGCCCACAACTGCAGATGGCTTTGAAGCACTGACTGCAGCCGACTGTTGTCAGGTTGCATAAATTTGTGATCAAAGGTGCCTTTGCAAGAACGTTATACCACCAGAAAAAAAAAATGCAACTATTGCACGGTATAAAAATAAATGAAACTAAAGCCCTTCTTCCAGGTGGTTGAAGACACAAAATTAAGCAAAAAAGTGGAAGTTTCCATACTATTCTAGGAAGCATAAAATATACAGAGATCGCTGAAAAGAAATGTACCAGCCAGAATGGGCCGATTTGTTCATATTTTAGCGAGGCTTACAAACATGGAAATACATCTCCATTTGTGCTATCGTTTTTTAAACACCACCGTGTTAAGATAGGAACAAAGTAAAGAAAACTAAATGTGCAAAGACATGTAATAACGGCCTTAATGTCTCTGCATAAGCAATTGTCTCATAGAAGACAATTTCATTGTGCAGATACACGCCAAGTTAATAGAGAGATGAAAAGAGTGACTATTAGGCCTTTAGTGTTATAGGTAGCAGCGGCAGCAACAGTCTTATGTACATAAATGCTTATCTATGTATTCCGCCAACAGTGCTTGCCCCACATGCAAAGAGCAAAGCTAACAGTGTGGGCAAACACGGAAAGGACCAAGACAGGTTTGCATAGCTGGCAGTGCATCATAAATAACAAAATGACCCCTTCACTCCAGATAACGTGGAAGTTCTACAGCACCTTTCATTATCGGCCCACATGCAAGCCTCAAAGATTACACAACGAGATAAAGGGTGTAGGAAACCCCAAGATCTGATATGGGGGTAGATAATGGCCCAAAGTGCTTTCCAAGCAGGAAAAACTAGGGCAGCACGTTTCTAACAGGTATCTGCACGCCGTTTCACGCAGGGGCACCTTGAAGTCTATGGTACGCAAGTTTCCAATCAGCCTGCAAGTCATCTATAATTTCTTGTATTTGTGCATACTTTGTTGTTTTTGTATGTGAGGACATCTTAACTTTTTCTTCTCACTTTCTTCACTTTTTTTTTGTACAGTGTGTTGCTAGGCTGATAGCTTAACTAGGACAAACTGTTAGAATAACTACCTATTCTTACATTTAAACCATGTAAAACTTGGTGCCATGTAGTTGGCTGACGCACACATGAAACACAATGACAAAGACCTGGTTGTATCGGTTCGATGTCTGCAACCATACACAAATTCTCTTCGTTTAGTTTACTTAAAACAACTCTCTACTAACCTGATACCATAGCACTATACTTCACTACAATCACACACTGCAAAAAAATATATCTGGCCCAAATGCGTCAGCTAAGGACGAAAACCAAATGATGCAAGAATCAACCGAAGCACCCAGTATTTCAGTACTGAAAGATAAACATAAGAGTGCCACTATATTATCATTTGGCAAATAAAATGCACGTTTCTTTATTGCAATACATACACACTTTACGAATGGTGATTCACTCTTAGGCACAATACTCAAGCAGCATTGAATACTTGGAACCACAACAACTGAAGAAGAAGCATGACAGTTACTTTTTCAGTGGGATGCAAATATTGGCTTTTTTTTTAAGTACTACTGCCCATAAACATGCTTGAATTCTTCCAATTCGGACATTTGTTTATAAATAGGAGACTTTCGAGAGTATAGCTGGAGCAAGACGCCGGTGAAATGGTACCGAGAGTCTCGGCTTCATAAACGTCATGTGAAATTCTGGTATACTGTGGATGAAAACCTTTCAAACATGGAATATGTATCGCTAAAGCCAAGTTTTCACAAACAGTTTTTGTCTTTTTCAAGGCTGCAAATGAGAAAACGTGGCTTGTCAAAATGTTTGCTTGAACAACAACCAATGTTCAAGAACTTTTCGCTTTTTTCAGGTTTCCATCTCCCCCTGAAGTTCTGCCTTATTTGGAATGCGGATACGATTTCACTCTGGTAACAGCGTTACGATGGTCGGTAGTGCGATCACACACCTGAAACACAGGTGTAGCCACGGTCCTGCAATTCTTTTGCAAGTGTCCTGGCATTCTTGACGACTTGCTCCTGGTAGGCCTTGAACTCGGGTGTGCTGGCTTGCTTGAGCGCAGCCGCGATGCCTGAAGCAAAAAAAAAAAAAAAGTCAGTCATTCGTATTTCAACTTTATACAAGCTTCAGTACACTCTCGTTGAATAGAACCTGAAGAGACCAGCAAATTATGTTCCAATTAACAGGAGTTCCATCAGTTGGGAGATAAACAGGGGTGCACGATTCAATCTTGTAGCAGCTGTTGGGTAAATTGAAATACAAACCAAAACATTACAACGTGTTTGAGCCTCGATGTTCAAAACTCGGGTACTGAATCTAATTGCTACCTACATATATTGCCCATGCCGAGAGTACAGCCTTGCGCTACACCTCCATCATGAAGTGCCCCACAAAGGTCACTTTTCCAATTAACAGCGCAGCTGGAGAATGAAGCAATGAGGGTGCCAAAGTTTATGCATGCAGCAGTGCGTAACGAATTACGTGTGGCGAGCTTGAGAGAGTCCCAAAAATCGAGAAAGAGTTTGAAAATAATTTTCCACAAATTCACACGGCTTCTCAATAGCTACAAAAAAAAAAAGGGATTACAGAGAAATTAGAAAGGTTTTTCGAGCTTCCCTGAATATTTTGTTTAGACAGTTAAAATTGCTTATAAAAAAAAAACGAAACACTTAAATTCCTGACTATGTATTGTGGAAATAACATTAGGTGCACATACCTGCAATGACGTTGTTGTGTGGCCCACCCTGGAGACCTGGGAAGACAGCCTGCTTGATCTTCTCTTCCAGGTCGTACATAATCTTTGTGCCCGTCTTTGTTACAGACTGGACACCTGGGTAAAGGCAGCAATGTGTTGCATGAAAATGAAGCCAAAGTAAAGTAATGATTCTACTTTAATTTTTCTACTCGCTAACCCACTGGAATTAGCCCTACCCTACTCACAGTGCTTTTCAAAAGTACAAACAGGCACTAGAGAATATATATCCCCTTCGGGCGTGAATAATGATGCACTGTCTGCAAATGAGTCGAATCCACACGACGTGATTCCAAGGCACTCAGTATTACATTCCAAGAATTAAAATGAAGGAATGCGGTGTTTCAAGCAAGTTTAACTAATTAAGTTAATTGTTACATAATTAAGCATGTAATTATCCTGCAATTACTCAGCTTCAATTAGTGCACATATATAATCAAATCTCGGGTCCAAAATGCATGCATAGTTTGTTCTACGAATGTATTCATTTCGAGGGGAAAAAAAACCGTTGAAGTTGGTTTTGGAACACAGCCCACTGAACGTTCGTCGAACATGGTAGTGTTTCCAGCAAAGGGATTCTTTCCAGCAGTGTGGAGCAGAATGAAGCTCAACGATTGCTAGTTGTCCACTTGGAAAGCCTGTACTGATGTGCGCACTGCATTGCAAGCCATTCGAAGAAACACGTGCTGCGTGATGCTCCTCCAAAATTTATGTGTAGAATTGTACATGTGGCCGCTAAAGGGAATACGATGCAAGGGGCACGCGATAGCCAACGAGCGTCAGTACATTAGACAAAAGATGTGGGCAATCGATATGGCGACTGGCTGTATACGGGCCAAAAATTCCTCCTAATCAAGGTGGGTAAAACGTATAGGTATTAAAATAACGAGTTTCAAGAAATGTGTACGGTGAAAAGAAGCGGCTAACAGTTGTGACGATAACACTGTGGAGATATGATTGAACGCAAATATCTCTTCGACGCCTTTGTCTCTATAAGCCGCGAGACAAGTGCTTTGTAGTGTATCTACCGCAGTAGCGACAACTCTTCAGAGGTCGTGCTGCATATCGCTAGGGGGAGTGGTTGTCTGTTGTCTGTGTGCATGCTCCCACAGAAATGTGGTGGTTGTTTTTGTTATTTAATGCTTTATGTGACAGATGACACTTATTGCCTCCTTGTAACTTTCTTCCTCTGCCTTATCGTGCAATCACTGCATTTGTTACAGTCTCCACATATCGGTGGCGTGCCATAGCTTCCTGTGATAGCCTCCCTCATCTGCATTGTCAAGGCATGGGAGGCTTGTGTCATGGAGGCATGGTCATGGAGCCATGACCTTCTGTCATGATCTTTTCACACGCACAGGCACGTAAGATGGTGCAATACCTTTTGGGTGTCACTACATTACAATTTTAGGTTTTGTAGGACTGAAAAGTACATTTCTCGATTTTACAAACTTCCTGGTTTTACAAAATAACTCGAGCGCTGTCATCACTTTGTTATATCAACTTTCAACCACAGAATTTGTTGCACAAAGACCACAGTGGATGTGACTAGAATGAGTTCATAAGGTAACATCGGTCCCTGTAACAGTGAGATCTTCGCGCAAGATGAGCTTCACGAGTTGACAACCACAGCAAAATGAGGGCACTGGGAAAGGAAGTGGATACGGTGGTGACAAAGCTCATTGCAACAGTTTCGGTTTTTATTCAAGCGAATCTTCCAAGACGTACAGATTTCACAGCTGACGTTGGAATAATGCGCACGAACATGACAACGCCGCATCTATGCAAATAGGCCCTCAAAGGTGCACAAGTCTAGGAGGTATTTGGATGCACAGCTTTTCAGTATGATTCTCTCTCGACCGTGGGTTCGTTGGCAATCAGCCGTTATTGATATGGCAACTGATCTTTTATCGAAGCTACTAGTCATTTCACGTTGCCACATTTGTCATGCCTTTCATTGTTGCATTTCGGAGCAGAATGCGTGACTGTCTTTCCTGTTGCAATACTCATGTCGCACTGCTAAGTATGTGGAGGGAAGAAAAAAGTTTTGATGGGGCATTGTGTAATACGAAAGAAAGAACAAAGAAGGACAGAATGAAACAAAATCGGGCGTGCACACAGCAAGCTTCGTTTATTTTATCTTTCTAGAGAGCGAAGACGCCTTACTTTCTTTTTTTTTAGAAACTTCCCAGCACCTCATTTTGCGATGTACGGCGCAAAAAAATGAGTGAAAAGCTGAACAAATCAAAGGACAACTTGACATCCTACCTTTACGGAAAAAGATGAGCCCTGCCCGAGGTCCCCGTAGTGTCTTGTGCGTGGTGGTCGTGACAATGTCGCAGTATTCAAAAGGGTTGGGAGCTACCTGTGCGGCCACCAGGCCACTGACGTGAGCCATGTCGGCCATGAGCAACGAGTTGTTTCGTTGGCGATCTCGCGGAACCGCTTGTAGTCCAGGTGGCGAGGATAACAGCTCACACCTGCACATCAGCATTTCAGTCATAAGTCTCACCGATAATTTTTTTTTTTGTTAACGGCAGAGAGTCAAGGCCAACGCACATTCAGTAACAAATGCTGCAACGTTTCTGACAACTTCGCAAAAGAAACGGCAAGCAACTTCTGACAGTTTTCGATGTTAAAATACATATTCTCTGGTGTATGCAGTGCAATACATTTGCCACACATTGACAGATTGACAACACCCCCGGACAATTTTTAAAAAGTACTGCTGAGCCCCTTTTGCTTTTCTGAAGTTTGCGAACAGCAAGTTTTTCTAGGGCTTAATTTTCTTACCATAGAAATGGGAAGTCATCACATTAAGAATGCTACTGAAGCCTATGTTTCAGCAAGGGGTCTTGTCTTCATAAAAGCTGCCCTGATGAAGAGTCCTTTTATCGTAACCATGGCTCGAGTGACATTCCTTCTTCATCTTCTCATCACCTTAGAGTTGTCATGAACTGCCCCTTGGTATCGGTAAGAAAGCGCATTTTGCAGATAGCAGACGCTGCTACGAACATCTCAGCCAATTCGCACAGTCGCGCGCAACAAGGAGAGCTTACAAGAGGGGTAAAAACTCGTCATTTTTTATCAGGTGCCATCTTTTCACACAGAGGCACATCTTCACTTGCTTCAGAGCTGCCAGTGCTCCCTGTTTGACATAGAACAGCAGAGAGCATGCTACTGTCCAATAGCTGACATACACCAAGAGCTGGATTTGGAACAGATGTGCTTCTTGCCGTGGGGTGCCGCCACACGCCAGTGCCACGCTCCATAGTCGGCTGGCATTACAGAGAGAGCCACAATCAGGCGCAGAGGTCACAAAAGGGGAAAGCGATCATGCTTCGTCACATGCTGAAGGTCACGTAGTGCGCTGACATGAGTACTTCCTCGCTTGCCGTTTCTCCGTGCGTACCTTTCAGCATGCTCACAGAGATGAGAAAAGAGAGAATGCGCTAAAAGTGTACCACAAATCCCTGCAACAACGCTCATTTTTGACAGATTCGAGTAATCTTTGCAGCTATTGATTTGCGAGATAACTCACTGCGATAACGTGGTCATTAGATGACTGCTTGGCAAAGCAATCTGCGACTCCTTTAAGCCACCACTTTTCTTTTAACTAGACTTATTTGTGTTGTCACAGTACTATAACAAAATTCAATCAAACAACCCACCAGCGATGATGAGCTTGGGCTTGAACAGTGCGGCCGTCTGCTGCAGCTTGTCGTAGTCGATGAGCCCCGTCTGCGGGTTCACCTTGTAGGGCATCGACTCGAAAAAGATGGACGTCGCCGAGATCTTCTTCTTGTCAGTGAAGAAGCCGTGGGTCAGGTGACCGCCGTCAGGCAGGTCCAGGCCCATGATGCGACCAGTGCGGCTCGACGACGCCCGTGTAGACGGCAAAGTTGGCCGGCGACCCCGAGTAGGGCTGCACGTTGACACCCCAGAGCTCTGGGTCCAGCCGGTACGCCTGCAGGGCCCTCTTCTGGCAGAGGATCTCGATCTCATCGATGAACTCGTTGCCACCGTAATACCTGCAAAGATATGCTGGTGTTAGTCAGAAAAAGAAAATCCAAAAACTATAGAAGACATAGTAATAAATCGTCAAGGATTCTCACAGTTCAATCGTACAGAACATCACCTAGTTGAGTAATACAGATTGTACAGAATAGTCACTTTGAAGAATCAGCATCACTATATACTTATGGGAGCATTAACGAACTGGTCAGTAATCCAGATGAGGCATTAGGTATTGCAAATGTCAGATCTGAAAACTAAAGAACAGGGAGAACAGACCGGTAGCGTTATTACAGCTACTGGGAACCTTAAGGTAGTAAAGCATTACTAATGCATTACTAGAGCGAGAATGAATGCAAGAACAGCGCAGCAGGCAAGAACTGGAGAACACACATGCACAGCGCTCACTCTCAATTAGGCTGATTCCGTATGCCTTCTTCACCAGTTCTTGTCCGTGCGAGAGACTGTGCACATATTCATCTCTGGTTTAATGACTCATTGAGCAAGTACAGACTTGTCAAGCCCTTAGCTAAGCTACACGTAAAAAAGAGCGGGCATACTTGACGGGTCAATGTCTTTTCTCACATTATCGCTGCACGCCCAACACTCACGCCTTGAGTGATGTATCAGCATGATGGTAGCTTTTCTGATAGGAAAGTGGCGAGTTTTTAAGAAGAGGAACTCAAACAATTTTCGTGATTATTGCACAGAAAAACACTTTAAATGTGTCCTCTTTCTTAACAGCATACAAAACCACACAAAACTGCACTCATTTATTTGATATCTGCATTTTTGTGACTGCCAATGCCTCACTACCAATTCGTCTTACTAAACAAGCAAGGAAGAAAGGTAAAGAAGCATTCAAATAGGTGTGTGCAAGAATTTAAAAAACTTGAGGACGAATCAAGCAATCCCTATTTTTCGAACCCAATTGCCATTGTTTGTAAATATGAATATATATCCAAATGACGAACAGGCCCAAATGACCAACAAAATGGCGCAAAAGCACGGCAATTTTCATTCTCGAAGAGCCCAGCCTATTGCCCCAGCAACATTACTCCGGAAAGCCAAACTTTAGCAGCCGTTAGATTAGCGTTTGCACTTTCTGGGTCAGACCTTTGCAAGTGCATAATCTGCCTGCTTGTTCAAAATAACATGTTTGCATGCTTACAACACTAAAAATTATGAGTACTGGAAATACAAACACCAGTTTGTGGAGACATAAAAAATGAGCACTCGTTAAATATTTAAAAAGTACACTTTGTGAAAAAAATCGAGTATCTCTGCAACACAACTACAATCAATTGGATTGCTTGCAATTCCTTTCCGGGAAACTCGGCTCTCGTCACTCTCCTATCAAAAATGCTATGTCACGCTGATATCAACACGCCCTTCGAGAGCAGAAAGTGCACAGAGACCGGTGATAAAGCAAGAAAAGTATGCGAGGTAAATGACCGTTAAAGTTATGTGGCAGAAACACTCCTCAAATACTCAATTGCTTTTTGGAGTGCGTTCAAATATGCAGTTAAATTCTGGCCCTACCCAAATTTACAACCGGTTTGGTCTAAAATCATTGATCAGAAGCCCCTAAAATGAATAAAGAGGCATGACTTTACCTCTGGCCGGGATATCCCTCCGAGTACTTGTTGGTGAGGCAGGTGCCGAGGCACTGAGTAACCGCCAGACTGGTGAAGTTCTCGGAGGCGATCATCTCGAGACCGCGCATCTGCCGTTGCTTTTCCTTCAGGACGAGTTGATGAAGCTCTTCATCACACTGCTCTAAAGGCTGCTGCATAAATCCAGGCTCCATGGCCGAGTCTGCGGGGTCAAATAAGTGCACACGTGAATCAAAGAAGAACGCCGATGTCACCAACTCAAGACGTTGACAAAGACGGACGTTGGATGTCTTAAAGATTGCTCGTACGCTCCATAGGCCCAAGGTTTTTAAATGGCTTGCACTTCTTATGAAGTTTCTGGTCACTACCTGGGCCAACTTAAGTATTGAAGGAAGCGGCTTTGCAAAACGTACCGTTTATGTTTGGACATCTTTTTTCCTTCAGTACCCAGTGTCGAAATGCATTGCAGTGGGAAATTAAAAGCACTTTAAAACATTTGTAGTAAGTAATTTTTTCTACAATATGTGCAAAAGACAGGAAAAGAGAAGAATGACAAGGGTTACAGCGGAAGAAAATGCCGAAAAGCTGACATGTAGCTTCTTACAAAAAGATAAGAGGAACAGGAATGCTGACTCACTTCATTCAGGAAAAAAGAAATATCTTGTTTCATACAATGTCAACAATGCCAGTGAGCAATCCATTCAGTCCTTGAAAAACTTTTGGAACCAAGTTTTTTTTTTTTTTTTCGCTGAGACACCTGACCAGATGAACATTCGACTGATTTAACTATGGAAACCATTTACCAACTGCAATAGTCGCATACTTTTATACTAAAGCCTAAGAAAAAGCAAGAATTGATAACTGCAGCATCTGCCTAATGAGCCACGCGACAGGGAATGGTAAAATGCTCGTGTGCAAGGGTAATTTCATGTCAAACGTCCATCACGCAGACATGGCTTCCAAATTTACAAGTTTTTTGTGCTAGATTAATAGTAGTATATAATATCTTAAACTGAATCACTGGCCAATGTGCACACATTCCAAATAAATGTGAAATCTTGTTTGTGCACTGGAAGTACAACATGCAATTTACAAGCCTGGCATTCTTCCATGAGAGTTTGTGCTAGATTAATAGTAGTATGTAATATCTTAAACTGAATCGCTGGCCACTGTGCACACATTCCAAATGAATGTGAAATCTTATTTGTGCACTGGAAGCACAACATGCAATTTACAAGCCTGACATTCTTCCTTGAGAAGGACCTTCACTATATCATGAGACTTAGCATAAACATCCTTCACGACTGGGCCCCTTCTCAAGTGGTGATCTAATTATCATGAAAAATTACAACTCAAGACACCAAAAGAATGCCGCAGGCATTCAAGAAATGAGAAGCCAGAAGAGTGCGAAATCAGGGTGGCATCCCAAGAATAGAAGTTGCACAGCATGCAATGATAAGGACGTGTGGAAAAACACTCAACCGGGAACCAAACAATGACTTGCCAAAGTTACAGCTGGTAGCGACCGTCAAGTGGGGAAACCGGCACGCTGTGGGGACCACGCTGAAGTAGGAAGCCTATGCACGGTTCTATTACGTGCAGGCGATAGAATGTAAATCAAAAACTTGATTGCTAGCCAACAATAGCGTTAACTTCACAAGAATCTCAGAAAGACTCTCAAAAGATAGGCCGAGAGAGTCCCAACTCAACTGAACAGGGGCACGCAAAAAGAGGTGTCTAAGCGTTCATGCACGCGGCATTGCATCTTTGCCACTCTTAAAGCTACTCCCAGAAGCTGTGGCAACAAATGTTCTATCTGAAAAAGCAAGTGAAAGAGAGACTGCAGACAAAGTACCGCAACAATAAAAAAAAAAAGATCTATAGCCTTACCACTGGCTACACACACAAAATAAAAAAAACTTAAGTCATACATACCTGGTATTCTCATAAATATTATATAGACCAAACGAAGGACACCTCAAAAACGGTGAAACGTGAACAGGAAAAGTTCCACAGACTACTTCACAGGAGCAAGCTGGAACACCCAATGACTTCCAACGACCGCCGTCTATGAGGTCAGGTCGAGGGCTGGACCCTTTCAAGCTTGCTCTGATAAGTGTTATTCTGTCTGTCCTGACTCTTATCAGGGGCGTGCGCCATGGCCTGATAAGATGGCTACAACTTCAGGACCGAAAAAGCGGCCGTTTCGTCTTCCCGAGCTCACGTTTACGTGTGCGTTTACTGTGGTATGCTTCAAACGAATCCATGTGAAAGCTTACAAGTTTAGGGTAGTTAATGGTGTATATTAAAGAGGCCTGCAGTAATGAATGCCCATATTGTATGAATAAAGTAGATATATTATAACTGTTGCTGTGGATCGAGGCCTGATAAGGGTGCTTCTATTGTGGAGTTAACAGTCTTGTCTTTCTAGTGCATGGTATCTGTGCTTGATACACCTGCAGTTGTAGAAGCTTAATGTCAACACTCAACTTCCACTGAAAAATAATGCAAAAAGACAGCTTTATAGTTGAACATAAGAGTACAGCCAAAGCTTCAAAACGCAAGTATATCTTTTAAAGCAAAATAGTTCCAGGAAATCATTGATGGGTTTAACAGTGAAATTAAGCCACAGTTTCACTACTTTTATAGTTATTTGAAATGATCCTGTTAGCTGTTAATCGAAAACTAGGTCGTGACAAAGCTTGATGCGGTTTAGTTTAGCAAGTTTAGTAACAAGGAAATGTGGGCGGCAAGTATGCTGGTGTATTGATAACGACTAACCGACTCAAAAGTTTCGGTGCAACGACTCAAATTCTTAAACCACTCAGCTAAGAGATGCAGTTCAATGTAAATTTGTATACATTTCTGGCAATAAAGAAAGGACTATTTATTCACGGATGACAAGTATAAGTGGACGGGGATGGTACATGAACCGAATGTCTACAGCTTCCCGAGTATGTCAACGGTGCACGCGAGTGAGCGAATTAAGTGCAGATGTCTTATTTTTTCATAAAAAAAAACTAAGGCTTCGTTTTTTTGAGAACTCGTAAACATGAGCCGATGACGCGCTCAGCGGTACGCTTGTATGGCTGTGCTGAGCGCGAAAGTCAAGGCCACAATAGCCGGCTTGGAGCTCGTCTTACGAAAGGGGGAAAGCCTTCTCCTCACGGGACGCCCAAGGCGAAACCACATACGCAAGACGGTCGCCTCACATACGTCAACGCGAGAGCTGGCGCGTGTGCCAGACAGCCGATATCTCCGCTATCAGCCAGTGCGCGTGTCGCAATTACGGGCTCGCACGCTTGTACGTGAGCGCCCGATAACACTTATCTCTGCAGCGACGAAGAAAAAGGAGCCCGCAAAGAGAGGCGGGCGCATACATAAGTCGCGATGAGTAATGACGAAGCGCTTTCTTCCCTGTTTATCTACCGTAATCTTTGAAGGAGGCGCAACACGCGCGCCACATCTAGCTAGTACGTTCGATACAGCGCTCTGCGCAACACCCGAAATGCACGAACGCCGTAGTGGAAGGCTCCGCAAATTTCGACCACGTGAGGAGCGCCTCGATCTAAGAACAGAACATTCACTTGCATTATGCCGCGCTCGGGATTCGACCCCGCGACCTTCAGGTCGGCAGTAGGAGCGCCATAACCGCTAGACCACAGTAGTGGCGGGTAGGAATCCTAGTTTGGGCGATATATGTCCACCACGAAACATTGATTGAAAGTGCGACAGCTGCACTCAGCTGATGCGACAACTGTACGGCGACGTGTGGCTAATACTCGAGCGCCGAGGGGCGCGAAAATTGACGTACGCACGCGTACTTGTCATTTGCATATACTGAAATTCGTTATTGTGCCAAGGCAATTGACTAACGCACCAGCGGCCACTGCCAGCACATGCACGAACACTTGTAGTCTTTCGACTGTCCGCTTGCTAGCGATGGCACGAAATGTGCTCGCAGTTCGTGCAAACGTGGATTAACTTACGGTTAAGGGTCGGGACCGATGATGCATCGCCTCCAGCCGACATAGCTGCAAAACTTGGCTACGCTCTTGAAACGAGGATGTTGACACTCCGTCCGTCCGTGGTACGCAGAAAAGCGATCAACAAGTGACGATTTGACGTATGCGGATGAGAGAAGGGGGAAGAAGACGCCCAAACCGGCGTGTACCAGATTGAACCCGATGTGCGGCGGCGGCGTTTTCTCTGCTGCTGCTGTCTAAAGTTAGTGGTCCGCCCGGGTCGACGCGGTACAACGAACCCGACAATTTGAGCTAACGAAAAGTATAAGTCTGCTGCTGACCGGTTTGGGACGGTGCGGCGGCACAGAGCTGCTCGCTATTACGTACGCGTGCGGAAAACTGGGTCCCCGGAAAACTTTCTCGAGGGAACAAGTTTTGTGGTACCACCAGCCACGTGACGTTTAACGTAATCCGTATCTAATATCGTCTCGGTGAAGACAGCGCCGCGCCTGAACATTTACTGGTTCGATCGCGCGCTGAAACGATATATGTCGCACATTGCAGCTGGTGTTACTTTACGCGGCTCGCCCAGCATTCATGAATAAACAAGGAAAAGTAGTGCACCGCTCGGGGCACATTACAAACATTGTTTAACAGAAATCTTGAGTAACATTTGTAACGAGATCATGGTCTAGAATCTTCAACAGTTTTCTTGTCTGTGTGAGAGAGAACCACACGTGCCAAATGATCGGCAATTTTATTTGAAGGCGCGCGCGCGCGCTTTTTCGGTGATGAACCGCCAATATGCCATATGCAAAACCACGTGGACGCACCACGTGATTCGCTAATACTGCTCTGGGCACGGAGGAAGGTTCCTTCCTCCGCTGCTCTGGGGAACTGCTTTGTAAGTACCTAGTAGGATCAGCTTGTTTCCCTAGCCGTTTTGTCGGTTGCGCAAACACTTCAGCAGATAGTCTACCTGAATAATGCAGAATAATTTTTCCTAGTGAACTATATATAGGCACCGCTAAACAGCACCCTGCCAAAGCAAAAAAAAAAAAAAAAAAAAAAAATGAGCGTCACGTTTTAAGTAGAACGGTTTTAAGCGAGACGGAGCTCAGAGCTCCGTCCCGCTCCACAAAACCGAAACTGAACACTTGCAGAACGAAAAATGAAAACATTTATGCAAAAATCCACTTGATGAACACATCAAACAAGTATATGATAGCAGAACACATTATCATCTGCGCCGTCAGTTCATCCGGGCAACAGACAAAGCGCGCGCCTATGACTTGGTACTGCACCGTGCTTAGTAACTAACTGCAAAAAAGCTGCACGCTAGAACCAAACAAATATTGATTGATTGACATGTGGCGTTTAACGTACCAAAACAGCCATATGATTATGAGCGACGCCGTAGTGAGGGGCTCCGGCAATTTCGACCACCTAGGGTGCTTTAACGTGCACCCAAATCTGAGCACACGGGCCTACAACATTTTCGCCTCCAACAAAAATGCAGCCGCCGGGATTCGGTCCCGCGACCTACGGGTCAGCACCGAGTACCACTGCAGTGGGTCAATCAAACAAATTCATGAGAAGCGATTGAATATGTCCACCACTTCTACTCAAAAAGAGAGGCTAGAACTATCACATTTATTTCACTTATTTTATTGTGCTTTAGCCGTGGTTTAGCGGGATTCGGCTAAGTCGTCTGCAACACCTGTGCAACGTCTGGAATCAATGAGCAGACGAACAAACATGGCGCTCGCCCGTGCATCGCTGCGTTTGTGCTGCCGTTTCACTTCCGCGAGATGTCTATCGACGACGCAGGCTTGGAGAGCGCAGTTCTCAATTCAAGACAAGGAAGACTTCAAGTCTAAGGTGCTCGACAGCAAGAAGCCCGTCGTGGTCAACTTTCGCGCCACGTAAGACACCGCCACGAAGCACTACTCGTTTCGCGGTCTCGTGGTTTCGACCTTCCGTTTTGAGCTCGTGAATCTTAGCGGTAGGTTGGTGTATATGTAGCGATCGTACTTGATTGGCGCCCCGCCGCGGTGGTCTAGTGGCTAAGGCACTCGGCTGCTGACCCGCAGGTCGCGGGTTCGTATCCCGGCTGCGGCGGCTGCATTTCCGATGGAGGCGGAAATGTTGTAGGCCCGTGTGCTCAGATTTGAGTGCACGTTAAAGAACCCCAGGTGGTCGAAATTTCCGGAGCCCTCCTCTACGGCGTCTCTCATAATCATATAGTGGTGTTGGGACGTTAAACCCCACATAGCGTACTTGATTGGCGTTTTGTCAACTACGTCTGTGAGAAGATCAATTGTGGACAAGTTTTAGACTTCGGGCGTGCCAGACTATTCAGGTTTATCCGGCTGACGTTCGGTCAACTACGTGAAGTTCGTCTGTGACGCGCTAGTCTAAAGGAGGACTAATTGTAGACGCATTTTAGACGTCGGGCGGGCCAGACTGTCAGGCTTGGCTGCACGTCTCGCGACACCGTGATTATGCAACTCGCCTAGTTCCTAGTTGCATAATTGCATCACGTTCAGGCGCGATGCAGTTATGAAGGCGGCATGTAAAAGCTGCTGGCGTAGTGTGTGCGTTTTTTTTCGGGCGGGACGCTTTAAATTAATGATCGCGTTCATTACAGCTGGTGCGGGCCGTGCAAGATGCTCACCCCTCGGCTGGAGGCAGCGGTGGACGCAAGGGGCGACAAGTTGGACCTCGCCAAAGTGGACATTGACGAGCAGGCTGACCTCGCCTTTCAGTACGAGGTGCGTAGAAGTAACCGTTGGACTCGTTATACCGTTAATACTTTCGAAAGAAGCATCACTCTCTGCTTCGATTCGCATTTCTACGTTCTAAATGGACAATTCTGGTTTAAAAAGTGCTAAGGCGGAAAGAGAGGAGGTGCGCGAGTAACGACATACGTCGCTACTATGCAAAGTTTCGGGGGCTTTAACTATGCGTCACAGCTGCAACGCATGGCGCTTCAGTCAGCATGAGAGTGATAAGTAGTACACAACATAGAGTTAATATAAAAGTCTGCATTTTAACTTCATGGTATGCAAATGGTCTGATCTTTGTACTTTCCGCTCTGGCTGCGCGTGGCCTGAATCTGCTTTTCCGCAAAAGTTGGTTCAACAAAGGTTTACTACGCTTCACGACCTTGACCTTCATAGGCTCACCAATTCAAATTGGCCCACGAAGTTCAGAGGGGCTCGTTATTTCATTTGAAAGCAAAACAAAACACAGCCATAAACGAAGCCCCAAGTACACCGAAGCACGCAAGCACAATGGCCAGGCAAATCTACCAATCATTTCCATGGTGGCTGAACGATTGCAGCGCCATAGTCCCCTCTAGTTAATTTGAAGAAACTCCATGGTGTGCAGACCAGTTGTTGCTCCGCCATTTTAGAATAGTGTTGCCATGTAGTTGAACAATGTACCTGCTCTGAACAATGTCCTGCTCAAGTGGATTGGGTGAAGTTTGTTTGCATTCACAACAGAGAAATATGAATTCTGTCGACTGTTATGTACTATGGTCGCAGCATTTCTGCTAAATCTGCCTAAAATTGGTGAGGAAAGCAATCCAAATTGAGGCTATAAGTTCATGAATATGCATCCCTGCATGAAAACTGGAGATCTAGTTCTGCCATCTGCATTTAGTGCAATGGGGCATGTTAATTAGGCACATAAAAACTGCATGTTTGGTTACAAAATATGCTAAATATTTGAAAAACTATAGTCTTATCACATTACTGTATACATAAGTTATCATACCACATTTCTGTATGCACCAGTAATTTTTTCACATTACTGTATGCACCTAGCAACTCACTTGGCTAAAGCGTTTCCAGATTGTTGTACATTTAACACGCAATGATAAGACCAATGCATAAACAGTACGATGCTAGTGTCACTGGTAAATCACCTTAAGAATCAGTCTTTCTTCAGGTCGAAGCTGTTCCTGCTGTGATCATGTTCAAAGACGGCCAGGTGACGGACCGCTTCTTGGGTCTCAAAGACAAGGACCAGATCGAAAGCTTTCTGGACAAGGCTGTCGGGTCATGATCTAATTCCCTGCGATCCGCCACTGCCACCGTAGTTAATTTCCTTTAAAATGTTGTAAATAAAGTCCGTCTTGCATGAGGATGGCATATTGTGTTGTGTTGTGAACAATACCCCCTCCCCTCCTGCCCACAAAAACTGTTTGATAGTGATTAGAGACTGTACGTCACAGAGTGGCGATTTATTGTGGAGCCAACTATACCGAGTACACAACATCCACAATTGAAGGTGTCACATTTCAAGTGAAATATAAATGCTGTTCATGTATATATATATACTTTTATACACAAAAGGGGCACGGTAAAAATACTGTTGCAATGACACCTATGGCATTGTCACATTTACACCATGCAATTTTGTACCATGATTGAAATCCATAAGAAAAATCACGCGCCATGTTTCTCGATACTATTCTGAGAGTAACAGCAGATACATAGGTTTTCTATGGCTTGGCACGGCCTCGTACATTGTTTCATTCAGGTATTTCGAGTTAACCATACAATAGACACTTGTAGCCAAACATTTAAGATACGCTCCAGTCAGGCCTGAGCATGCTAGCGATTTGTACACCAACTTGTTAAAGGAATCGTAGTGTGCATGGCACAATTTGTGCAAACATTGAACCGAAGTGCGTGAGCTCAGAATGATCGTGCAAACAGCAGGACGTAGAACCCACCCCTCGCACCGCTGTGAAACGGGTTGAGCGGTGTTCTGCCATCATTTCGCGGCCAAACTGATTGTGGCTTGACAAGACGCGCTCATCAAAAATGCAAAATTTATGCAGTTCGATGCACTGTCTTGGGGTTCGACATCTGCGCAGGGCAGAACGAAAGCGATGATCAGCTAAGAGTGTCACTTTTTTTTTTTAGAACAGTTTCATATTTACAAGATGTATGTTCTGTCATGTAATTTGTAGCTTGGTAGTCAGTCTCAATGCTTTTCAATTATGCTTGATCCTATATTTAAACTATATATTTGGACAGTAGCAGCCGTGAACAATTGGTGCCATAGTTCTAACCATGTGCAATGGTGAAAGCGAACGAGATGAGTACAGATGTACAAGATTGGCTAGTTTAGTATACAGTGAAGTGATCGCTTGTTTGGAAAAGGTAAATTCACATCTACCTGCAAACTTCATACAAGAGGGCAGGGGACATACGGTATGTGAACACTAGAACCAAATTTCCCTGTATTGTATATCGTGTGAATTCCATATAGTATAACGTGTGAAATTCATCACAAACACGTTTTTCTCATTTATATCGGGGGAAAAAAAAATGGCGCTTGCCCTAGCCATAATTTAGCAATGGTATAACATTTCCATGGTAGTGATCATCCAGTATAATAGCCTACACTGCTACTTGCTCAGTCTTTGAACGCTAATTGCGTGGCAGCTCCAGCACTTAATGACAGATGATCTCGAGTAAAAGCTATTGTACAAATGCTGAAAAAAGATATTACCCGAATGAATACTCAAAATTTGCACTTCTAATTTTCTAAAGAACAAGAATGTGGTAGTGCCAATTGGTGAACTACCAGGAGCATAAAACAATCCCATAAAGGAGTCGTTGATTGTTTGACGATAAAGGAAAAATCTGCATCGGCACATCTGAAAAGAACCTTTCATTTTCGCCATAGTCGGAATAAGTGTAAAACGACATCTGCACTACAAAAGCCTATTATAATCGGAGAAAGATGAACTGGGCAACAGGACAGTCGGAAGGAAGCACCCATCATTGCATGTGCACCGAACAATTCGGTTGAGTATTACAAACAATTGACATCGAATGTGGAAGTTTCAAAGAAAAGGGAAGAGGTGAAATTTCTTATTATTTTTTTTTTGCAACATCATCCTGTACTCACGCCAGTGCTGACCATGTCTCCAATGCCTAATGACAGCATGGCATACCAAATAACGAGGAAAATGACAACTACGCTGTAATTCTGCATTGGGAACGATAAGTGCAAACACTTGTAGAAACTTGTGCTTGACGGCTGTTGCATAACTCTACTCCCATTGTATGCTTCACCCCTGTAAACCGCACTCCTGACTCAAAATGAGAAGAAAGAAGGGCCAATTACAATGTGAATTATGTGGTGTACTACAAGTATGACTAGTCAGTGTTCAAGAGTGTCGTTTTACGTTTTGTGAGATGGAACTTTATTGTCTCAAGCGCACAATCAGACAATCACATTGTAGAGAATGTGATCGCTTTCGCAAGATTTCGTGCAGTGGCGTTTCTAACGAGGCAGAAGCAGTTGCCTGCGGGTGCCCATTTATGCAGTGCCAAGTTGCAAGAGAAGGTGATCGTTAATTGCATGTCACTCCTAACTAAAGCTACCTAATTATCAACACTGATCGTTGATTCAATAATTGCTAGCTGTACATACCATTTGTTCATTTTTTCGATGAGTGGTGTACGAAATGTGAGACAACGAAATATTCTGGGCCTGGCAAGCACATATAACTCGTCTGCCGTTAGAACAACAAACTTCGAGGAGAAATTTAAAGCTATTAAATATATTGCTTTGAACTTTCCGAATTGGCCTTTTCTATTTATTCTTTGTTGGCAAAAGTTAACCGATCAAGCACAGAAACTTTAGAAGTGTCGATGCAACGCACAGATTGCTGGGACAATGAACGACTTTCAAGATAGTGAACATCTCGCAAGAGAGGTTTTGGACGATTACAAACTTCCACAACCACACACAGTGCCAAGTTCGGGCAATATGCGACACAAAATATCAAGACGTTTTGTTCCGTGGCTTGGGTTTGATTCAGTTCCAAGCTTTTGCACTCAAAGAAACACCAGAAAGACCAGGTAGTGGCTTTTACACGAAGAAAAATGGAAGCAATATTGCCCCGTCCACTGCTCAAGCTCCCAGAGTATTGGAAGAGCTTTTGCTTTGGTGCCTGAAAAAGTGTGATCCACACATTGATGTAGTGTACATCAGTGAATGCAACTGAGGCCGGCTGTCTCAGAGGCTATGCCTTTCCTGGCACTACGATTCCCGAGATCATAGAGAGGGTGCCTTGCTTTATCATAGCACCATCTAAATATACTCTAGGTACAAATCGTGTTGCGCCAGTGACCTTCATGTTATGCTTGGCATTACCATTGTTGCCAAAGTCGGAGGCACGTACACAGAAGCGCCATCTGTTCGCACTTTTTCACTCCTGTGAATAGTTGTAACTGAATGAAATGGTGCAGGTGCCATTGGGAAATCCTTCTGCAAGACTATCTAATGAAGTTTGCCAAACTACATTTTGCTTTGTGTTTCAAATAGAGCGCGATCACTTTTTTAATAGCACTTGACTGCAGTAGTATAAATTATGAATGAGACGTGCAATGTCATTGGTAGCTGGCTTGGCATTTTTTGGGTTGCAACTGTCATTTCCTAATCTATGAATCATCAGCAAAGCTCTCTTCTTAGTAAGCAACAATATGGAGAGTTTGAAGCACACATATTGCACTAAAGCTTAAGCGAAACCCGCCTTCCGCATATGCCAACGACAACAACACAATGGACATTTCATCGCTTGTGGAGACGAGGAGTAAGTTAAGTGCTTAAGAAATACAGTAACAACATTGCCGACGACCAACTTCCACAAAGCAGGATATCTATAGTGTGGGGAATGTTTTTATAGTACTCACGAACAACACACCAAACATTACAGCAAACATGACACTTATTTTTCTTACAGTAATGCCCACTTGAGAATTGCTTTGCTACAGGTTGTAGCGCAAACGAGGCACGTAAGACACACCTAATATGAAGACATGGCACCAAGGCAAGTCGAAGACGTGGTTCCATGTCTTCATATTTTCCGCAGCCTTGCATGCCCCATTAACTCTATACCTTAATGCAACATCAACTTTGTCGTCAGCGTCTTATTTCGACAATTCCTTTGTTTATGCCAAAGACGAAATAATCATTTGACAAATAAGCCGGCTTTTAATCATGTAGGTCTGGCACTGGGAAATGTCACAGCAGAAAGGAAAAACACACTTAAATTCAGCAAAGCTAGTGGCGCAGCTGACACAACAGTGAACGGCCCACTACTACAGGCGTAGGCTATGCACCGCAGCACATACATCAACAATGTAGAACCATGAATAAGCGTGTGGTTTAGGCTCACGCCAATGCAGACTTTAACAAGGAGTGCTCGAAACATTGGTCCTTGAGATGTAAAATGATTTTGAGAAAAAAATGATGATAGCGCGAAGGTAACGATAACAGGAGCGCTATGCAAGTGCACCACTTGAGCATTGAGGGGTATCATTATGCGAGTTGAGTAACGCAACTGATAACAAGAAAGAGCGTTACAACTACTTCTACGTTTCACGCCGTTAAGGGCCAACTGCACCAAAATTTTGTTTCGGCGAAATATGTATTAAATGTTGCACATATAACATCGAATTAATCATGGTGAAGGCAAAGAATGGACAACTACCATCCTTTCTATCATTATTGGCCGTTAGAGATAGCACCTTAGCAGACGATGTGGGCACATGGGAGTCTCAGAGGACGCTACACAAAACCCACCACAATGCATTCAAGATTCTCAATGTGCTGTTGCATCTCAGAGGCTATGCCTGGGAGCTTTGCTACTTCTCAATGTCTTGTTTTCCTGTGTCGTCTGCCAGCTAGTGGCATTTATAGCACTTCTGCTCTTTTGTCACTAGCATATTGCGAAGCGTTCAATCTCTTTAGCATTTCTACTTGCATTTTGAACCAATATTTTGTGCACAACTTTTTTTTTTGTATGATACCCGAGACCAAGCCTTTCTCTTTATGCAGTCGAAAGCAATTGTTGCGGTGGGCCTTTAACTTGCATTGCTGCTGCTTTCAACTCCTAAGCCTAACTGATGGTCAAGGCTACAAAGCGTCGGAACCTAACGACGACCGCTTTAGCGTCTCCTTCATGCAAATAAGGAAACAGCACGGTGTCAGTTTTTTCAGCATGATACATCAGCACCAACAAAGCTGGTCGTTTTTGGCAGGAAATAACATTTATGTCTGCTTTCATCGACGATGCAAGGCGTCCTGTCAATTATGCAACACCCAGCAGCGATTCACGGGCTCATTCATATGTGATGAACAACGAAACATGTGACGGAAAGCTCCAGAGTTATACAGTGCATTCAACAGCGCTTAATATGATAATGTACACAAAGACACAACTTGGGGGCAGTCACAAACAGCAATGGTATAGGGTAATTTGTACAAGAAACAGCAGCGCAGTTATTTTGCTGCTATAACATCACCTTTCATGGGCCCCCATGATGCAAAGAGATTGCACGGCCATGAAACTACATATAAAAAGATGACAGTATACAGCTTTCTTAAATGTTTCACAACAGCATGGTCACAAAAGTATGCTACACTAATCTGAAATTTGGCAAATGCTCAAATATTTGTGCACTTACCCACCCTCCATTTCACATGTAGTTGGCAATGCTACAGACAAAAAAAAAGTTTGTTTTACTACCTCCACTTGGGATTGAAACGTCGTATTCCACATATAGGAAAATGTGAGACGCACTATACACATGTATGATACATATCATAAATGTATGATGCATTCGATAGATGTATGAAAGAAATATAGAATAGGGAAACCTCACGGTTTACGACGTAACGTCAAACCTCCCATGCCGCAAAACATTACACGCTTATCAATAACTCATACAACTAATGTTGTATGAGTTATTGTAGATGCGGACCTATACGTCACAAAAAGAATGGAGTGACAAGTTGCAGCAACTTGCGGTCCAGAACGAAACGTAGTGTGTTGTATGCACACAAGTTGCACAAAATGAGCATTTGAGTAACCTGCCATAAACTTGACATCAGTAAGTTGCATTTTATATGCATGAAGTCATTGGTTAGAAATAGCAGGACAGATCAGATGAAACTACACTCAAACCTCGATATAATGAACCCAGATATAACGAAATATCAGTTATAATGAAGTAGATGAAAAATAATCCAGCGATAGATGTACAATAGACTCGACAATTCAAACTCTGATAATTCATACTTTCAGTTAATTCAAACAAAATTAAATTTTTTTGGTTGGCCCTCTATTCTTTCAGTGTATTTAAAAGCTTCTTAATTCAAACTCCACCATTCAGTTAGGTCATACTTTTTGTAGTTTCATACCAGGAAATATCTGCTGCTTTTCCTCTACTATTTAAAAATTTGCATGCTATTATTCCTAACAGTCTAAAAATGAAAAATAAGCACCTCAGGCATTCAAGAAAAATGGCTGCTTCGCTAGTAAACAAATGTTTGAAGCAAAGCACACGCATGGTAAACCGTGATGCTTCTCAACTGGTATAGAAAGCTTCGTGCCGAACATACCTACAGCAAAGAAGCAGTTGGCAGTTCATTAAAAGGTCTGATCAGCAGCATATGGCCAAGAAACTTGTGGACCTTATTTCTCTGCTTTCTGTTGATTGCATGTAGTTAGGGTTTAAAAACACTTAAAAAATTTTTAACAGTGATAAAATCAGTGCCTAATCATAATGTGTGGTGTCGCCTCACCCAGAGTCATCTATCTGGGAACTTCTGATAATTCAAACTTCTCGATAACTGAAACTAAATTCAGAGGCCCCTTCGAGTTTGGATTAATGAGAGTCGACTGTATAGCTAGAAATACATGTTCATAACGAATTTTTGGGTATAACCAACTTATTTTCGTGTAAGATGCAACTTTTTATAACGAGGTTTCCGTATTAGGAAGTGCAGTGAAGCGAGATTGCTAGAGCCACATTGCTTCTGTAGCGTTGCCAGCTAAGCAGTGAAATGGAGTATAGGAAAATCTCAAAGCTCTTTGTAGGACAATTGATTATAGGCCACAGAGTCCACAGTTGGAAGTGATTTGGCTGTGGATCATGTCTGTAGCTGGAGGTGATCCGTAACTACAAGTTGAACACTTAAACGGTTAAAGTTGCAGACAACGCTCTAAACAGTGTGACAGGAAAAAAATTCTCCGAGAGAAAAAAAGGAATGTATAAAAGGGTGCAGTCGGTCAGAAATGTTAACAGGACACGTCTGTAAGTATATGAGAAATGTTAAAAGGGCCATAACACAGGTCACCCACAGTTTGTGCGATTTTCAAAAAACTAGAACATGAGGTTATATATAGAAAGTAGACTGTAAGAGGATATTCGAGTGCAAAACGAGCCCTAGAAGTCGACGGCTTTAAGCCTTGCCCATGACCGGAGATTGCCATTTAGTCATGTCAGCATGGAGCAGTGCCGTCATCTTCTACCACTATTTTGGGCACCAAAAATCATTCAATTTCAGTGTCAATGAAAGAAAGTTGAAATACCTCCATTTCAAACGCAGCTGGCATGCTGACACTCACTCGTAAAGCTGCTTGCTACGTCGCGGCTCGCGAGTGTGCCAGTGCTGCCCGACTCTTACACCACTCGCATTTCTCAAAAATTTGATAATGAATCAGTAGCTCGACTGAACTAATCAAAACTTAACCAGCTTATTATAACACAAAAAGATTGACCAACATAACACAAATTTTGACTGAAAATTGGGTGTCGTGGCCCCTTTAATTTTCTCTCTCCTGAGGCACAGCACTTCGAATTAAAAAAAATCCCTGTATAGGTCACGAACAGTACTAAACATTGAAGCTTTGAATTTCATACTGTGTGTGACCGATACATTTGCTTTAACAAGTCTTGTGTCCTGTGAACCTTCGTGCCCAACTGTACACACTGGAACATTGTCGCTCGACTGAAAATTCATATTTAACTGCTTTTCAACAAGGACGAGAGAGGACAGTAGTAGTATATCAAACAGCGAGGTTGAACTACTGGAAAATATTGAGTGCAATGGAACAATCTTTTTCTTTTAAATGGGTTTTTAGTATAGAAAACCTGGAACTGGGAAACGAGGGGAGACGTGGAAGTTCAGAGGCTTTCAACTCATTCAGGTCGCCTTGGCCGGGTTCCAGTAACACACACTGAAACCTCGCAAAATTGGCATTTGTTTTCTTTCACAATCTTCCCTCAGTGGACTGCGGCCGCTATGGCCAAGGACTGAAAACTGTGACCTCACACCCGGTGTCGACATCGTTATCACCAGGCTGACACGACATCCTGTCTGAACTGCTACGCATGAATTTTCATGTTATTTTCATAAGGTTTCACGTGACTCGAACGTAAACAATTCTATAAAAGTTGTTGCTGTTAGGTAAGAGAGCGTTATGACGGTCGCGTTAGCTTCAATTTGTGAATAAGTGGAAGCACTCTATCAACTCTGTACAGCTAATTAGCACGGTAAAAAAGGAATAATACAACCATGTGAGAGTAAAGTGTATGTTTTTACAGCCATAACTATTTTTTTTTATCAGCGACAGAGGGTATTGTGACTTGATACAATTGAAATTTTCAAGTTACAAAAAGAACAGCAATGCCTACCTTAGAAAATAAACTAATGATGTCTCGTAAAAACCATTTCATAGCTTTGGTAACTCATTTGTCGAAATTCTCTTCAGGGCACCCCCTAGACACACTCTCTCTAAAGTTCCAGACAAAGTTGTGCTCAGAGGTATTTTATGAGCTACTTGTGCTGACAGAACAAGCTGGGGCTCAGTAGCATCAAAATTCTCTTCAACGTAAGACATTTTTCAACTCCACGGTGTTTTGTTTTCACTTGTGCCGATTAAATGATAGAAGTAGTGATCAGCTCGTGCCCCATTAACGCGCAAAACAAGCAGAAGCAGGTGACACTGAACACTGTGATGGCTGTGACAAGAAACAATCCCGCAAATAGAATAACGCCTCCATCGACTCAGTCCAAAAAAATGCAGCCCTACAGGCGAGTTTCGTCTACTTTCGCTTGCAGCGCGCCACCTGCTTCTGTGCTGTCTGCAAACGACGCCGCTCCTCCCACCCCACTCCCTGAAACTTTCGACTCGCAGCGATTCAGACAGGAACGGCACAGCCAGCACGGCGCCAAACCGACCAACGAGACCTCTCCGACACCGTGATCGCAGCTGCCGCAGCCACCCCGGGCAGCACGCCTAGTGAACAATGGCAAGACATACGCTCACAGCGTTCGCGCCCCGCGCTCGCGCTGGGTGAAACGTGCCAGTATTTGCTATTGGACCCGACGCTGCTGCAGACGCAACCGCTTGGCTCGCCCCTTCATGATGGCGAAGTAGAGCCAAGGCGTGAGCACCCGCATGAGAAGCACGAGGCGCGGGATGAAGCCGGCGATCACCACGTCCGTCCTCTTGTTCACCACGGCCTCCACGACGATGTCGGCCACGTCCTCGGGGGCCATACCGGTGGCAGTGGTTTCGTCCATCACTGCGATGAAGCAATGTAGGTGTTGTATTCACTAAACTTGTTGTTTCATACGTGTAGCTCTTGCAACAGATGGATGTAACGAAAGCTCCACTGGTTGGCTACTACCTAAGAAATAAATGTAAGCTCTCGCTAAAGAACTGTGGCGTAACTGCCCATAGCCTGTGAAGGAGAGTCGTGCTAGCTGGCTTATTATTCAACTGAAAGTACTTTTTCTTGGCTAATGCAAAAACCGTTGAACTTCTCAATAACGAAAGCTCTCGAGAACGAAATTCTCATTGCAACAAAAAGTCTCGCATCACCAGTGAACATCGATACAGCTCAATGCCCCTCCCTAAATAGCTTTTACCGTACTATACACATATTGAAGGACAACACATTGAAATAATGAATAGGCTTAGATTGATAAATTGTGCTATAGGAACTCTAATGTTAATTTTACCATCACAGGCAAACTAAAAGAGGTGAAAATGGAGGTCAAGTTTTCGTCTTTAAATTTCGCACTGAAATCTCTACGCGCAATGGCACGAATTTGAAGGTGCATTTATCACACTTTGCTAACATTGACTATGCAAAACTTCTTGAAACTTTGTACTATGCTCATTCTATGGCTCTTTCAGAGGACGATGCACTTCATTTTTACTCATTGGGAAGTATGTAGGCCCTCAGAGATGCTGTAAAAGTCTATGACGTCACGCTGTTTTGGTGCAAAAATTTAAAGGTGTCATCACCATCAGCATGTTTCTTTTTTTTTTTGCACATTTTAATAAATTCCTCTTTTCTTCTTTCCTTTTTACTGTTCTTTTTCTCTTCCCAAGTCCTGGGTAGCAAACCAGACATTTTCTTCAGATTAACCTCCCTGCCTTGCAATCGACCTTTCTCTCTCTCTCTTTCCTCGCCTACCAAGCATTTTCTTGCGGCATGCGTGGGGATTTCAGAATTGTGAAAGAATAATTTAATACCGCAAGAAAAATTATTTTTCTGTGTATTCACATTAATGGTTCAGCGCTGCTGTCTAAATGATTACACTTGGCTAAGTAGCAATGGCAGAACTTAAGACAAATTTACCAAGGCATTCAAGTTTACGACATGAAATTAGCGACACAAAAGTGCGCCCGTATAGGGCACTCCTATCCGAAACACTCTGAACGAGCTCGATGTCACCAACACGAGTAAGCACTACTGGATGCCTTTACGCAATTTTTTTATGGGAGGGTCAGCGATTGCTTTAGATAAAGCTTACATTTTTTTTTTTAGGTCGTAACCGAGCACAGCATGCGCAGTGAATGACGAAGAAAAGCTTTAAACTACGACCACCAACACTCACCGCCGTAGACTGCCCCAGTGCCAGTGAGCGCGTTCATCGAGAGGTTGGTGCGAATGTAGCCCGGAGAGACGATGCAGACGTGGACGTCATACTGCGCCACCTCAGCCAGCAAGCTGTCAAAGAAGGCCTGGGTCGCATGTTTCGATGCCGCGTCTGTAAATATGCAACCGGACTTCGATTAAACGGGTGATCCGAGTAAACTGAGGCGAAACCTCGGCGGGATTGTTAACAATTACAATTTTAGGGTTTAATGTCCCAAAATTGAAATTTCAACTACGAGGGGTTCTTTTATGTGCACCTAAACCTAGCTACACAGGCCCCAAGCATTTTCGCATGCACTGAAAATGGGGCGGTGGCTGCCGGGATTTCATCCCATGACCTTTGGGTCAGCAGTAGGCTTGTGCAAATAGTAAATTTTAGGTTCGGAGCGAATTGGAAGTGAATATTCATTTTGATCGAATAACTTCGAATTCAATTCAAATGGTATGTATGACGTATAAAAAAAAAAACATTTATCATGACCTAACTAACCTACGTAATATTTCTTTTGTATTTAAATAGGGGCTCTATGCAAATGCCATTTTTTTTTTTTTTCGTTCAAAGGAAGTCGAAACAACCTTGAGTAGTAGTTTCGGTAGGATGCGAGTGATACAGTACTTAACGTTTTAAAATTTATTATACTTGGAGCATCTAAACTGTCATAACAAACTTAATCAAATGAAGAATTGATTTGAGGGTAACGTGACCCATTATAGGAGCCCTGCAACACTTTTTCAAGTAGTCATGAAGCCAGTAAACATGCTTGTTGCCTTACAAATTTACCGCTGTAAAGTTTATAAAATCAGTACAAGTGGAGTTAAAAGAATTTTTCGCACGCTGCAATTGCATTCTCTCTTTTCGTCCCGGTGAAATACTTGAAAGTTAAGCAGGGAGGAATGGCACAGCGAAAGAAAATCGTCACACGCACCTCGTGACCTTGAGCACCTCTTTTTTTTTTCTTCGAATACATGGCTTTTTATACCCCTGTCACACGGGCACTTAAAAGTCTTTTAAGTAAGCGGTCTTTTTCCGAAAAGGAGTTCCTGACAGCAGACACACGGCACAGAGCGAATTCCTTTTCAGAAGCGGTCTTTTTCGTGAACGGCGTTCGTCGATCTCTTTTACGGCTCCGAATGAGTAGCCTCAAAACCAGTGGGCGCCAGCAATTTTCGAGTGGTGGCAAAAAAAGAGCGAATGCTTATTTTGCTGTCACCAAAACTCTTTGTAAAAACAAATTTCATATCCTGCAGAAGGTGTAATTAACTCTTTTAATGGTTATTTCCTTTTCTACTCTCGTAAACAGCTACAACGCGTCGGCAATATCACGTTGTGACGCTCGGTCTTGCGCTGCTTTACCCTCTCCTTGGCGGCTTTTGCAGCGTCTGCCTCGCTTTCCAGAGCGAGAAGGCAGGCCGTGAGGCTTGCGATCCTCGCTTTTTCTCCCGTACGGTCGCCCATAACGTGTCGAGAGCAGACGAGAGCAGCGAAAAACGAATACGGTAAATAAAAGCACAGTGGTGCCAGACGGACTTGTGCACGTCGCTAGTTATGGGAATGCTTCCTTATCTAGCGCAAAAAACATTCACATTGGTGTTTCTTCATCTCTTATTCTTAAATTTATTTGAAGAAACGAGCAGTGCAACAAGTCTTTAATTTGTACATCGTGATACACCGTTTAATTTTTATTGCTTCTCTTTTAACTGCTAGCGCAACGCTTTCGCTAGCGTCTTCGAACGAAAACACTAAAAGGAGATCGTTGCTGCCGTGTGTCTGCACCGCAAACACCTCTTTGTTAAAAGTCTTTCAACTTCGTAAAAGACCGCTTACTTAAAAGACTTTTTGCGCGCCCGTGTGACACAGGTATTAGTGCGATTGCGCACGTACTCGCAGACAAGCGGCGGCCTCCCGCGGTGGCCCCGGTAACGACGAGCGTGCCATGCTCAAATCAGCCAATGGCTGTGACTTGAGCCGTAGATTCCTTCTTGGCTGTGACAAGTGATTTTTGAGTTTGTAGTATCATTTACTGAGGGAAGAAAGCAATTTTTAGCTTTGAAAATTTATTGTGAATAACAGGCCGCGTGCTGCACTCTAATGTTTGCCTCGCGTATTCTCGGTAGCCTCTACTACCAATCGGCAATGTTTTCTGACCATGTTCTTTGAGTGTTGCAGGGCCCCTTTAAATTTGAAAAGGAGGTTTGCGGCAAAGCAAATTTTCCTTGAGTAGGTGCTTTCGCGGCTTATCACTTCTACATTGCAGTAAAACCACCTTTACAGGCGGTGACATGCGGACTAATAGACACCTATTCGTTCATTGCGAATACTTCAAAAATATTTGATAATTCAAATTCGAATATTCGCACAAGCCTAGTCATCAGTCATGCAACTTTACCACCGACCAGTGGCTCGTGAGTGTGCCTTTCAATTCAGTACAAGCATAGCATATTAAAAAAAAAGTCACTGTGGTGTGTCACTGGAACCAACGTATCGGCAAGTGTACTTTTCTCGAAGGCTACAACCATGCAGCCTGGAAGACAAGTCCACTGGCTGAAATGTCAGCTCCGGCGAAGCCCTGCATTCAGAATTTGTTCACCTCTTAAAGCTTCCATTTAACCCTGAACTCCTGCCTATTGCTACACGAGTTCTGAACTCCTGCCTATTGCTACAAGAGTTCAACTACAGAGGATGGAGCCGATGGATGGCAAAACTGGAGTCTGTTTGACATTTGTTTGCAAGGCTGAAGCACATCGTACTGTTTCAAGTTCAAAGATGTGTGTCTTTGAACTTGAAACAGTATGATGTGCTCCAGTCGTACAAACGAACGCAAGACGTACTGCAGTTACGCCATCCATCTGCTCCCTAGAGTGTATTTTAGCTCGTACGACAAAGACCTCTCTTTAGAGACTGAATGCTGGCTCTTTCTCGGTTTTCTTGCAAGTCGGTATTGCGGTGTAGCGCATCAAGGCTATCTAACATGCTCGAAATTTTCAACTACCGCCAACTCAGTGTATGCTAACTGCTGTCTGCTGTGCATCCAAAAACACAAACTGTGCCCCCACCCCCTTCTCACCCCATACACCTGCATAGGAAAAGCTTTAGATGTGCCAGGGCACTATTTTGTATGCATTCCATTATGAAAGGAAATGAAACGTCACAAGAGGTCGAGAGGGAGCTCCACACATAGGTCGAAGCTCGTATCTGACGAGACTTGGGAACAGCAACTGGAATCATCAGTGCTGTCAGTTATTTTGGCACAGAACACGCACAGAACGAAAGGAGGCAGTGTTCCGTCTGATAAAAGAAATACAAAATGGGCTCTGAATCACTTGGATTGGATCAAAACATAAGTGCTAGGGTCTTTCATGCCTGGCTCACTCTTATTCCGCACGAATATTGTACAAAAACCGCAACCAGACCCCCCCCTCCTCCACCACCTGACAACTCGTGGAATCGCAACACTGCCTAGCACCCACTCAAGACACCAATGCAAATAGAGTTGTTAATGTCATTTTGCTCTTCATTTTCAAGATTCGAAGAACAATGCCTCTTAATAACGATGTTCAGCTATATAAAAATGCTATATTTTTTCACGCGTTAAAAACATTTGCATATTCCCTCAGCTCACCTGTTGGCTCCCTTTCATCTCTCGTGATGTTCGTTCTATTCCATCACAGAGCTCGTACGAAACCGCTCCCCAGGATTCAGACAGAATAACCCACATTTTATGAACCGTAGACAAAGTAGTCCTAAATCACACAAGTAGTTCAGAGAGGCCCCGCCCGGATAAGCAAAGTGTGGTAGCGCATTGCCCTGGCGACTAAAGAAACAGTCCCGCTCTTGCACTCTGCAACATTCGTCTGAAAGATGGGGTCAACGGCTGTCCAGCTCGTGACATCAGTCAGGGGCCCGTGGCCATTGGTACACACTGTTGGGCACCTGATTTGAGGAGAAGGAGATGCCACAGTTGTATCCACTACGCACTCGAACCTCGATATAACGGACATGGGTATGACTGTCACACATGTCCCGTTATGAGGGAGGCAATCGCCGGGCTAATTCCAAGAGCCGAAGTATCGGCCCCCCGAACCGCACCACGAAAGCGTGGACAATTTAGAAGTGGTCCTTTTTGGCGCGCCAGCGGACGCCGGCTGTGGCCCAAAGAACAAGTCAGAGCCGAGAGTTGATAAACAAACAAATTATATTCTCAATAATGGCAGATCGAAAACAATACACAAAAATGCACACTCCACAATAGTTGCATACAATATGTCACCAATCAAACCAATCAATCAACGTACTACACAATACAATCAGCCACACTTGAAACAACGGACACGGACAACAATACGCACTACAATGCAGTCGCATGCATTGAACAACCAAGACACTTAAAGACTAAAGAGATAGAAAACCTATTCAGTCCAAAGTTCTTGGAACCAAAGTCGAGATGATACTCTTCCGAGAATCACTCACTCAAAGTCCAGCGTTGTTGTCGTTCCGCAGCCCTCGAAGTTTCTCTTCCAGGAAACCTCCCGTCTTCAATTGGCCACTCTTCAAACTTCAACGTCTTCGCCGGAACACGTCGGCTTCACACACGCAGCTGTTGCCCCGCGTCTTCGCTCGATAGCGGTAAACACACACTCTTGCCTGTAGCTCGAGTCGTCACCCCTCAGGTGGAAATCCTCTTCATCTCCTGCTTCGTCACTACGGACGAATTCTTCGCCGACAACACGGCGGAATCCCTACGCGCTCTGGCGTTAACTTCCGTCTCCTCCTGATCTCTCATCTCGGCTGCTCGGTTAAATACCTTGCGCGCAACATTCCAGACGGTTCTCCTCATTTCGTCGGCGCGATACGCAGCGAAAGCTGGGGAGAGGTGCGAGACGGTCCGACTGCCCTCCCCGGAGGATGATTCAACTCGGTATGACCCCGCCCCGTTCGTTCTAGAAAAATCGCGGGCTTGCTGGGCCGCCGATGCGGGGTGAGGAGGTTCGTCTGCGACGCCACGCTTCCGCGGGGAGAGCGCGCGCCCGGGGAGCCTTGGACGTTTACTTTTCTTTTTTTTTTTCTTTTGACCTCGCGGCGTTTCTCCCGCCCGTTGTCGCAAGAATTTGGCG